ATTGTGATGTACCTAAAGGGATGAAACTCGCCACTAAACAGGAAGATCCGGGTATCATTGATCTTAATAGAGAACTCATCGTAAGAGATAATATCCTGAAGAATCTGTGCTGAGGCAACACTACCAGCGACATTGTCACAGAACGCAAGTACGGTCAATATTGAGGAGAAGCAATTGAAAAGGCGCATTTTGAATTACTTGTAGCTCAGGACGGTATAATCTGATAAGTTAGCTCTAACGGGCTCAATTATCTGCTGAAGATATTCGGGGTTAAATATACCCTATCTTCCGTTTCTAAGCATACCGTCCGTCGGAACCTTCAACAATGGCTTGCATGTCTGATTTCCATCATGCCGGTCCGCGCTTGCGAGGGCACTGCGATATCCAATTCCGACGGGAAATTATCAATGACGGCAACACACTAAGCGCTCGAATTGCCAGCTGTCTCCTCACCGACCTAGCCATACCGCTTAATTCCAATGTTTGCCGTTGACCGAGGGGCTTGCCTCAATGAGGGGGATGATCGGCATTTGGCCCAAGGGTCTGCATTTCAGATGTCACATAAGACTTGAAGTAGGAAACTGTTGAGACATGGGCAGATTATCCCCTCGATTCTGGAATTTGAGGGCGTAACTAAAAGTACGGCCTAATTCTCCTTAGTGTTCAGTGGCACTGTTCACAGGAGTGAGCAAGGCAGGACTAAAAATCAACAAGACGATAGATAATTCAACTGTCCAAAGCTTTTTGATAGATTATGAAAACTGTCATTACATTCTGTGTTTTATATTGAGCGTGCCAAGGCATGACTATTTCTGGAAACTTATCAAACCCAAAAAAAAAAAAAAAAAAAACCGAAAAAAGAAACCGAACCTTTTTGCACTCGTGATATCTCAACACTCTATGGTTTGTGCTTCTTCATCTATTGCCTCAATCACTCGACATTCGGGCTCTGGCTGCGACCAACCGGCATTTCCCCACAATCCTCCAGGATCCGTCTGGGAGTTAGCAGGCTGTCATCTTTAAGCGTGCGGGGTACAAGTAAGCTTAACCAGGCTACTCCAAACACAGATTGTGATCGCCACGCACTCGCACGACATCTCGGCTAGTTCTTGCGCGAAACGATGAGCTACCGATAGTTTACAACACTGAAGACATGGCAATTATGTCCGATATTTCTTTATTCTCGCTGTCAAGCAGCTGGCGTGTGATGCATCTTACAGAAGATTTGGGCTTTCACGCAAGCGGGTTGACGATATGGAGAAAATTATGCGAGATACCATTTGGACCTTGCTATTAGCTACGGCTACAGCTATCACGCTCCCTAATTACAATTATCGGTTTGATACAGAAGGGAATCTCCTTGACGCCCACGATGGGAAATTGTACTTCTTTGACGGCAGATACTACTTTTATGGTACTGCTTATAACTGCGGCTTTCGTTGGCGCACATCAAACTACACGTCGCCGTTCTGCGGTTTCAAGAGCTATTCATCAACAGATCTTCTTGTATGGGAAGATGAAGGCTTCTTGTTCGATGCCTCAACTGCTTATTGGCAAGCTGCATGTGCAGATGTAGCAGCCTGTTTTCGCCCCAAGGTCATTCAAAATCCTAAGACTAGCGAGTATATTATGTGGATGGTACGTGACGTTCTATGGACATCAAACAAAGAGAATGGAATCGCCTGACTAAAAATGCTAGAATTCTGGCGCATCTACGTACAGCTACACTGTTTTTAATTCTACCAGTCCTACAGGGCCTTTTGTTGAGATTGGCAAGCCAACCATGCCCTACAGTCGAGGTGATAGCAGCTACGGCAATGGAGATTTTGGCATCACAATTGGGCCAAATGGTGATGGTTACATAGCCTACGATACTACACCACACGTCAGCGGACCACCGCTTTTTTCGACTCCGAATATTACATATGGTATCGTGCAGAAGCTAACGCCAGACTACAAAGCTACGGAGGCTGATTACATCGTCACTGAGCTCACCAATATCGAAGCATTTGACATCTTCCATCGCAATGGGTGGTGGTATTTGACGGTATTTTGCCACTAATGTCGCTCGTTTTCAAACTTGTAAAGTAAAATACTAATGATCATCTTAGTTTGGTCATATTTGTGGTTATTGCGACTCTACAGACACTAGCTATATCAAGAGCAAGAATCCGCTTGGCCCGTGGCTGGAATCAAACAGGGTTCGCATCACTAATAGCTCCTGTGGTGGGCAGCATACTATGGTTTCACAGCTACCGCGAGGCAGGAACGACAATAGAGACCCATATGTGTGGCTTTACGGCTCTGACACTTGGACTGGTAATGTCAACGAAGGCAAGGCGGGCAGTCACTGGGAACCGCTGAGCTTCACCGAAAACGGTGACATCAAACCCCTGAACTGTTATGTTAACAGCTACGAAATAGACATCAAAACCCAACAACCGCAAGTAATATCAGTGAAACAACAAGCTGCAGTAGCGAGCAAGCCGGGGAACTATACTTGGTCGTGCAAGCTGGGCACTCGTGACCAGAATATTTTATACCAGTTTTTTCGAGCTCCTAAAAGCGGCAATGTGACTGGATTTGGGGTCAATATTGCAGAGCAAGCAAACGACTACGAATTGCAACTATATTTCGGTGAGGCCACTACAGAACAGCCATCCGAGCTTTACACACCAACTGGCGGCGTAAAGAATCTCTGGTCTGGAACGAGACCTGTGGGTACTATTGGATGGGCGCTCCCTATTGTTACGGCATCACCGTATGTTAATGTCACCGAGGTCAGTCTCTTTTTTGGACTAAGGTTCTATCTGTATGGCTTTTGTTAAGTCTAACCGTCTAGCAATTATGATAGGGAAAATATTATGCCATTTATTTGAGTTCACGCGGCGGAAGTACACCGTATTGCTACTTGCATAGTTGGACAAATACCTCGAAATGTAAAACATACAGCGAACCAGAAACATTTTTAGCTGAGATACAGCAGGGGCGATACCCACTGTTTCCCATACCAGACAGGGAGATTAGCTTTTATGTGCAAATAGAGTAGAGTGTAACCCTGAAATAATAGATAAGCAGGAGAAGCACAAGCCGCTCGCTTTTTGCTAGATGTGCACAACGCTAATTACGTGACATGACCTTTACAAAATTATGATGGGAAGAATGGTAGTGGCAACCAAGTACTAGAGTAAATCGTGAAGGAAAGGTATGCACATTATTGCAGACCTGCTTTACATTGGGACTATCACTACCCTAAACGGATGATTCCCCACTTGTTCTGCCCTATAGTGGAAGACTTCTAGTTCTATCATCTTTCTCCCGTCGGCCGGCAAGATGTGCTTAAATACTGCCCCTCGCCAACTGGGATTGAACGGTGTCTACCGACGGGTAAAGCTTTCGAGATGCCTAATAACCAGCTCTGTGACTTGACACATTTGATGTTATGTTGATTTCTGATCCCCTGCCTGCGTGACTAGCCATTAACATGAATGCAGGAGTGTTCACTATGTTCACAGCTCTGCTGTGTCTCTTGCTTCAATTTGCAGAGACACGCATTCTACCTCCGCGATATGATATCGTTTGGAACTCTCAAGCACCGCCTATTAATGGTTCATCAAGCTCAATGCCACTCGGCGGGCATGATCTCGGCTTAAACGTATGGGCGGAAAATGGTACGATTCTTTTTTACATTGCGAAAGCAGGCTGTTTCGATGAAAACAACAGCCTGTTGAAACTTGGAAGGATACGTCTATCTCTGAACCCGAATCCCTTCGCTCTAGGACAGCAATTTGAACAAAGGCTGCTGCTAGAAGACGGATATATCATCTTCAGTGGTGAACAGAACTCAAAAATCACCATCTGGGTAGATATGTTCAGTCCAATCATTTATGCAGATATTGATACACCGTTCCTAACAACTTTGAGTGCCTCATTTGAGATGTGGAGGACAGAAGACCATATCATGCCACTGCCTGAGCAAGCACAGTCGTCCTGGAATGGCATACCTGGAGTAAATCCTATCACGTACAAGGACGACGTGCAATTCTGGAAGAATGAAGGCATCCTCAGTAGCCATCGTACTGTCAACACAAGTCTACTCGACGCTACTTTGGCTCAACAACAAATTTCGGACCACAAGGGAGATATCTTCGATCCAATCACCAACAATACTTTTGGGATATACATGAGTGGGTCAGGCCTGGTACCTGTTGATATCACCGAAGGTGTATATGCGAATACCTCATATATGTCATGGAATCTCCAAAGCAAAAGGCCATCTAAATATCACAATCTCGTCATAATCACACACCAAAATCAGACCTCCTCCCTTGATGATTGGCAGTCACAGCTTCTTTCTGTAACTGAATCTGCTTCAGAAAGTAGTCACAATGCTACAAAGTCATGGTGGAATAGCTTTTGGGACCGGAGTTACATATTTGTCAATAGCGATGCTAATGAGTCAGACCCCTCGTTCCAAGTAGGACGCAACTATCAGCTCTTCAGATATATGCTTGGCTGCAATGCCTTTGCGAAGTGGCCCTCCAAATTCAACGGTGCTCTTTTCACCTTCGATCCGGGGTTTATTACTCAGAAGTACCCTTATTCGCCCGATTTTCGGCGTTGGGGCGGCGGCACTTTCACAGCACAGAATCAACGTTTACTTTACTGGCCCCTATTGAAATCGGGGGATGTTGACTTGATGGTGCCTCAATTTGAATTCTACAGAAATATCGTTAGCACTTCGACTATGCGTGGACGGGTCTACTACAATATCAATCATTCTTGGCTGACAGAGCAGATCGACAACTCGGGCCTACCGCAGATTTACAATTTCAATTCAAATGAATTCATATACCATGGGAAACGACCACTAAGCTTCAATCCAGGGCTCGAGTTCGACGCTTGGATAATGTGGTTATCTGATACAGCAGTAAGTGCTCGTTTTAGTCTGAGTATCTCTGTAAATTACTGACATTGCAGCATAGCTTGAGTTTTGTATGATGATTCTGGATGCTAGCGATTTCTTCTCCTTTGATCTGACTCCTTATATGCCGTTCATTGAAAACGAGATCATGTGGTTTGATGTGTTCTACACCCAACAACAGCAGTCTAGAGATGCATATGGTTTGTCTGGCACGTACGGAAACGAGACACTTGTACTTTATCCGGCAACCGCATGCGAGACATACAAGGGGGCATACAACCCAGCATCCACCGTAAGCGGCCTGCGAGCGGTGGTCAGTCGAATACTGCAGGTCAATCCCAGCTATACTATCGGTAATACCAGCTATTACGAGGGCCTCCTAAAACGAATACCAAAGACGCCCCTGCGGTATCAACAGGGCCGCCAAACCATCGCCCCAGCTGAAACTTGGGCCCGAATTCAGAATACTGAGATTCCCCAGCTATACCCCGTCTTCCCTTGGCATGAGTACGGAGTCGGCTTGCCAAATCTCAGCTATGCCATGAATACATACCTCTATGACAGCGACACTCAGGCCTTCCACGGCTACCAGGGGTGGAAACAGGACGCGATATGGATGGCTGACATGGGTTTAACGGACATGGCTCGGAACATAACGACCCTGAAGCTGCAGGATAGTAATGCACACCGCTTTCCGACCTTCTGGGGTCCTGGGTTTGACTGGACGCCCGAGATGGACATGGGAGGAACGGGCATGATTGCACTCCAAGAGATGTTGATGCAGACATACGGCAATGCCAGCCGAACAATCCGTTTGCTGCCAGCGTGGCCTATAGAGTGGACTGCGGACTTCAAGCTGCGCGCACCCTTCAACACGACCGTTGAGGGCAGAGTCGAGCGTGGCAAGCTAGTCAGACTTGCCGTCGAACCTCTTGAGAGGAGAGGCGACGTTGTGATAGGGGCTTAAAACAGGAGATTTGGAAAAGAGGGGCAGTGATAAGTAATGCGAAATGTTCAATGCTACGCCTGGTGGGGCGAACGCGAGCCTCGTTGTGCCCGAACAGATAGGCTATTGTCTGCGGGTTACAGGTCAGTCCGTGACGCCGGAAACTAATTGCCTGGTTTTATGTATAGGCAGAGTGATTAGTAATGAACCCTTTGCATTCGATAAAGAAATCATATCAACTGATGGATGACCCATCAAGTTCTAGGGAATGCCTCAGCAAGCTAATGCAAACACTAGATGTACTCTTAAGACCCGAGATAGGAGTTACATTCTGCAAATCTCCCTAAGGGGGGTATGACATCTAAATAGAGAGTGTGTTGGGTCAATCACGGCTCATGGACACGGTGAAGGGACTTTGGCAAGCAAGAAAGCAAAAAGCCAAGCGCCTATTAGATGAATCCTAGGAAGGTCGCCTTGTCAGCCGGTCAGCAGCGCCTTCGGACCACTGCCAATCGCACGAAGCGCCACCACCGTAAGCTGAAAGGGAGGCCACCCCGCTAATGCACGTCAGCGTTGACCCCTGGTAATTCATGGCGAGTGTCTAAAGGGAGAGGCTTATATAAAAGACCCTTCAACCTCTAAGTCAGTTGATCTAGTTGAGTGCTGTGAGCGTTGCCGAAGATGGATAGCGGAGCCGGCTCCGCTGCTCCTTGGAAACAACGATGGCAGACACACAACAAATCATTCAGCTATAACAGCCACAGCTCCTTGCCAGAAGGTTCTCTAGGAAACAACACCTTCACAGATTGGAGTGATCCTGGAAGAAACAGCCAGTCTCCAGAATTTCATCACATGCTCCCTGACCGAGATGAACGCCAAATTCGCTCTCTCTCACAGCAAAATTCTCTTTGGTGGATCACTGAGGTTCTATCCCTACTGCTTGGAGCAATATTTCTGGCTGGTAAGAACCATAGAAATACCATGAGAAACATTGATTTATAGGGTTCTGTAGTTATCGTTATTGTACTGTACCGCGCAGACGGCAAACCTCCGCCAAGATGGCCGCTGAATATCACATTAAACACATTTCTGGCATTTCTCACTTCTCTAGCAAAGATTGCCTTCATGCTTCCAATTTTCGAAGGTCTCGGTCAATTGAAATGGCTGTGGTTCATATCAGAACGGAAGCCTCTGTCAGATTTTCAGACTTTCGACGAAGCGAGCAAGGGATCATGGGGCTGTGTAAAGCTGCTTGTTCAGTTTAAAGGGTATGAAAACCATGGCCCGTCAAAGACCTTTTGGCCAGTATGAAACGCATTGCTTATACGCTGTAGTTTACTTGCTTGTCTCGGAGCTATCATAACTTTAAGCGGCTTTCTGACTTCAACGATGACTCAACAAGCAGTCGAAATTCGAATACAAAACACCGAGTCGACGAGTGGAACTGCCACAGTTGCCAGAGCTACCAGCTTTTCTCTTTATGATGGTGCCAATTTAGTGCTCGGTAAGCAATGTTCGTATCTGTTGGCACTATTCTCGCAAAAGCTGAGACCGTGACCAGCGCCGCAAGACGCAAGATTGGAAAAACAAGCACTCTTAAACGGAGCATTTTTCTCTCCAAACGAAACAGTGCCGTTCGTCGCCCCAACTTGCTCCTCTGGAGATTGCAAGTGGGAGCCCTACGGTTCTTTGGCTGTGTGTAGTGCAGTAGTCAACATGACCGAGACGAATAGCAACGCTAAGTTGCTTGATAACCTCAGGAATGCCACTGCCGGACAGCTGGCGGCTATGATTACTGCTACACTTACAGCAGGCAACATGCTGAGCCTGGAGAACAGTACTACCTCGTCTATTCCGCCATCATTACCAATTGTTATTGGACCTCTCTCTAGCCCGACCGGTGCTTTCAACGCGTCAGTCACTGAGCTCATCATCAATAATCAATTCATTGCGTATTCAAACAGTCCGATAACGAACGCATCTATCGGAGACGTGGATAACTTTGAATTGGTCGAAATAGCGTTCTACTGGTGCACGAAAACTTTCTCGACTGAGGTCAGGGATGGCCGAGCTGTTACGACGGAGCTTGGAATGGAGGTCTTGCCCAAGAACCCCAGTTCCCTTCTCTTAAACTCAGCATGGTCCCCGGCAGTCGCCTCGTGTTTTGCAACTGGTAAATGCAACGAGACTCTTGCTAGGGTAGAGATAGAGCTTCAGGCTCCCCCAGGTGCTCGAGAAGGCGAGAAATATACCATCGACGTGCTGACAGCAAATCTGGGGTCTATCCTAGTCGCCGAGTCCATGCAAGCCTCCGTACTGACGGACCAGGCACGTGGCTTCTCTATTGCATCTACCGGGGGAGGCATGGCCGAAGCTTTCTCGTTCGCTTTGTTTGGTGGCTTTATGAGTGCTGAGAAACTTGCCCCAAAGGACCAGTTCCAGAACATCAATGGCGTGGTGGAGAACATGGCGCAGACGCTGACCAACCTGTAAGTTGCAGTCCTTTAATTGACATTTAAATGACTAAACTGTCTGTTAAGGGCGCGAGAAGGATCGATCAGGTACGCCAAAGGACGAGACACAGCAATTGTCAAGGGTACGGTTTTCGTACCACAGACATTGGTCAAAATACATTGGGGCTGGATGGCAATGATTGCGTCGCAACTCTTAATGACATGCGTCTTTCTTGCAGCCACCATTTCGTATTCTTCTTCATCAAATTTGCAAATTCTCAAAAGCTCATCTATTGCGACGATGTGTGCCTTAGATAACGATACAAGGCAACTTTTAGGCAATATTGATGACTTCGGCGCGCTAAAGCGACGAGCTGGAAACATCAAGGCTAGACTAGAGCGGCGCAGCTCAGGCTTTGCGATATGGCTAGGCCGGAAGCCGAGACCAGCAACATGGCAACCAGTTCCCAATTGGGGCGCTGATAGTCCGAAGAACAAAAGCACAGATTGGGGCTCAGAACAGGAGGTAGCCGGCTGGATATAATGGCTCTGACAGCCTCGACAACATCATGGATGATGAAAGAAGCTACCCGGAGGCTTCTCTACTCATCACATCGAAATCTGCACTTCAAAAATTTGTTCTATAGAACTATATATGTACGACTATCGAGAGGGGTTCTATATAGAGCGGATTGTAGAGGACAGTTGGGTATTTGCCAGGGAGCGATGGCATGTTTGGGTTTTGTATGCAAGTTTCCGAATCAAGCACGTCCAAACACCATAAAATCTTCCGCATCTAACGATACATGACTGCTATCTCCATTCTTACGACATAAGGCAAATTCGGTGCACTGGCTCAACTCCCTTGACACTTTTCCATCCGACAAGTAAGGCGCCGAGGATACCAGCAACTGCTGCGCCAGCCGCGACATAGAACACTGAGGTGAGCGACTGATTATAAGCAAAAAGTAATTTGATCAGGTCTGCTTCTTCATGGACAAGGCCGCGCAGCTCTGTAGCGCCAGTGCTGAGTATGGTCGATATGTTGAGCCCGGGAATGGCAGCCTTGGTTAAGCGCTGGATGAGTTGTTGGTTGAAGATGTTCTGACCAACACACACAAAAATTGAACCACCGAATTGTATTCCGAAGAAAATGTGAGAAATTGCGAACGGTATATCATCTTTTGTCAGAACCGTCTGGATAGCGAGAGAGGCCTGCTGCGTACCAAAGCCAAGGCCTAGACCGACAAGCACCTGGTAGCCAATTCATTCACCTGAACTGGCATTGACTGACATAGTTGACAACATGCCAGCACCAGCAGACGTGAAGATAGCACTTGCCACCATGATCGGAGATGGATATCCGATCAGTTGCGCAGAGCCACCGCCTATGATTGCGCCGACCACTTGCGAAAGAACAAGCGCAATAGTCCTTTCTCCTGCCTTCACGGCGCTGACGTCCGGATTGCTTGAGACCAAATCGCGATCCAGTATGTAACCACCATCATTGCTCCCCCTGTCATGGTCGAGAAAAAGAATGAGGCGAGGACAGTACGCTGACCAGCAATATGAGGTGGCATGGTGGCCGTCTCTGGCATCAATACTTGTGAGACAATGAAGGCAGCTCCCAATAAGCTGCCAAAGACAAACAATAAAATGATTCTCCAATCACTCCAGGCATACGTAGACCTCAATCATGGTAACGGCGCACGAGCTCGAGCAGGCCAAGGTCATTCATCAATGCACTTTCAGTGCTACGGGTGAAAATATTCTTCCCAAACTGTCTCTGCAAGCAGGTCAGTATCATAAGGGCATATATAGCCCCTAGCTGATTATTAGGGGTGAGCATTCAAATATTTTACCCTTTTTCCGCTCCTGCCTCAACCCTCAACCGTGATGCGGCGTATTCTCAGTTCAGTTCATGAGCCGAAATCCGTGGAGCACAGCCACGTTGAACAAAATTCAGACTCTCAAGTATGCTTCGAATGAGCCAAGTCACAGCATGCGTTGTTCGATGTTCATTTGCGGAAAGATGAGAGCAAAGGTCAGGCAGCACTGCGCAATTGATTCAGGCACTAACAATACCTCTCGCTTAGGCTCACAAATTCAGTTTGAGGTCCTCCATTCTGCAAGTTACAATCACTGCGTTCCCCGCTTCCTTTTCGGAACGATTCGTCGTCTCATTGGATTACAGTATCCATCGGTTACTCACAGATCTGTTCGGCCCCCAATTCCCTTTCTTCTGCCTTGTAACGCTGACCAGTGAGAGTCCAAAGATAGTTTGCGCAATGGGCAGTGCACTGTCCAGTGGCTGAAGATTGAAACACCAAACTGCCTTCATTTCAGAGAATCTTGACATCAATATTTGCTACAGTCTCGCTAAAACAGACAAGAAAGAGCGCTTGCTAAGTTCAATAGCTTCGAGAGCACCATGGACAATGCTAAAACATCAGACTTCCCAGTAGGAGAAACAGCGCTTGAACAACACGATGACGTCGTGAGTGCACCAGGCGAGAAGCTGCCTGATTCTTCACCACAAGAAGAAGCGAGGGCTGTGGGGACAAACGCTTCATCGGGAGGCGAGTCGCATGCGTGGCAACGTACAATTGATGAGTCTGTACGCAGCATCGTATCAGTTCGGTTCTGCCACCCAACTTCATTTGATACGGAGGTGGCTCAAACGAGCGAAGGGTCGGGCTTCATAGTTGATGCGAAGAATGGGTACGAATGTCAAATCATGAATTAGGAACGATATTAATACACTTTAGTTATGTGCTTACGAATCGGCATATAGTAGGGGCTGGACCCTTCTGGGGATCTATCGCTTTCTACAATCAAGAAGAGGTTGACGCCTTTCCTGTTTATCGAGATCCTATCCACGACTTTGGCATACTGAGATTCGACCCCGAAGATGTTAAGCACACAGATATTAGCGCATTGACACTTCGACCGGACCTCGCGAAAGGTAACTTCGTCTCTAGTCTATTGCTCTTCAGGATTGTTGACTGTTTATTCTAGTTGGAGTGGAGATCAGAGTCATTGGCAATGACGTGGGAGAAAAGCTCAGCATCTTGTCGGGATTCATCAATCGTCTCGACCGCAATGCGCCGATATACAGCGGATATCAGGACTTTAACACTTGCTACTACCAAGCTAACGCTGCTGCCGCCGGGGGTAGCTCTGGGAGTCCCGTTGTCAATATTGATGGGTATGTGATTGCATTACAAGCGGGAGTGAGAACAGATGGAGCCTCCACGGATTACTTTCTTCCACTCCATGGCCCTCTTCGTGCCATTCAGCTTTTACAACAAGAGCAACCTATAATGAGAGGCGACATCCAATGCAAATTTCTATTAAAGCCGTTCGATGAATGTCGCCGACTTGGTCTCAGGGCAGATTGGGAGACTGCGGCAAGAAAAGCCTTCCCGCACGAAGATCATATGCTCGTGGTCGAAACCGTCATCCCTGATGGGCCCTCAGATGGGAAGATCAAGGAGGGTGACATCATCACCACGGTCAACGGAGAGCTTACGACACAGTTCCTCCCACTAAGTAATATATTCAACTCGAATATTGGCAAAGTTGTCAGTGTCGTTCTACAGCGAGGTGGTGAAGATGTAGAAGTGAACGTCGCAGTTCAAGATCTGGAAAAAGTGACGCCAAGCAGAATTCTCAGTGCCGTTGGCGCAAATTTCAACGAGCTCTCTTACCAAATGGCCCAGCGATACGCCATAGCTTGTAGAGGCGTCTATGTTGCTGAAGCTGGACTACTGCAACTCTCCAAACGCAACGGGTGGCTTATTGAATCGATTGATTATAGGGACACTTCGTGCCTTGACAAGTTCATTGAAGTCATGAAGAGTTTGCCAGATAGGGCTCGCGTCATAATGATATACAAAGACTTATCTGATCTACATACCACGCACACCTCCCTTATCACCATCAACAAGCATTGGTCGTCAAAGATGAAGTTGCTCACACGGAATGATAAAACCGGGATATGGGACATCGAAATTCTAGCGGATGCGCTGCCACCGTCAACACCAAAACGCAGCAAAGTGACCTTTCGCGGACTCAGCCATATAAAGCATCCTGCTGTGGCCGGCATTACTCGAAGCTTTGTTCACGTCCAGTGCACGGTGCCATTTCTCCTAGATGGAGGTACACAACATGTAATATCAGGTATAGGCCTCATCATTGATGCTGAGAGAGGCATTGTCTTGATATCGAGGACTGTCGTACGCCACAGGCTCTGTGATATTGTCATTACTGTGGCAGACTCCGTCTTCATCGAGGGCCGGATTATCTTCTTGCACCCATCACAGAACTACACCCTCCTCCAATATGATCCCGAACTGTTGGATGCGCCAGTTCAAACCGCGGTTTTGAGCACCGAAAACATCACACAAGGAACGTCTACTCTCTTTGTCGGATATGACAACGACACTCATCTGTCTTATGCACCAACAATAGTTACCGCGGTGCGGCCATTAGCATTCACCCCTCATTCAGTACCTCGTTACCGTCCCATGAATGCCGACAAGGTGAATATAGAAACCAGCTTAGGTGATTCTTGCAACAGCGGCGTTCTCATGACTGAGTCCGGCATTGTTCAAGCAGTCTGGCTGTTCTACGATGGATCGTATAGAAATCATTTCGGCTTAGAGGCTTGCGCGATAGTTCCAGTCATCTCCTCTATTAGAGATGGAACTATACCTAAGCTGCGATTGCTTCCGGTTGAGTTTGAAGCTATACCTCTATTCCAAGCCAGGGTCATGGGTGTTTCCGATGAGTGGATCACGAAAGCAGAAGAGCATTCACTACATCATCAACTATTCATGGTCAAGCGAATCTTCAACGACCAACCCGGGCAGCTTCTTGAGGGAGACATCTTGCTCTCCCTGAACGGGAAGATTATCACCATGGCATCTGAATTGGACGTGTTGCACTGGCACGAGACGCTTGAAGCTGTTGTTGTTCGTCGCAGAGAGCAGATCAACGTAGAACTGCACACTGTCGCCGATGACGACGTGGAAACGACTCACATTGCTACATTATGCGGGGTCCTCCTACAGAAGCCCCATTTGGCTGTCCGACAACATATCAAGGAATTGCCAAGCGAGGTGTACATTTCCTCCAGGTTCTACGGGGCGCCATCATCCCGATACAATTTGTGGTCATCGAGCTTCATCACCCACATGAATGGGACCCCCACACCAACCCTCGAATCCTTAGTGTCCAGTGTGGCAAATATTCCAGACAATACATGTAGGTACCTCTATCACGGTATTTATACTGGTGCTAACTAGACTCTAGACTTTCAGCTTAGAGGCTGTGCCTATGACAAGACCCCATTCGTCATCACTATCAAGAAGAATGAACGGTTCTATCCAACTACGGAGTGGATCAGTGATCCGAAAGAGCCTTGGGTATGGGCCCGGAAGACATATGAAGAGGGCAAAGTGATCGAGGGTGAAGGAGATCTGGGTGTTTGGATGTAAATCAGCCCTATCAACATGCTTAGCATGCATCTGCGACGACAAGGCGATAGAGCCTTCGCAATTGCTTGGCAACAAACTTGTGCAGCTGGTTGTCTTCTAGATCGCGAACGAGGAAATAGCAAGGAGGGAAGACAGAGTGTCGGAGGCGATGAACTCATTCTAAAGCAAAACACTTTCATATAACTTCATACACATTAAAGGCTACATCTTTCCATCTCGCCACCAAGCCCTTTAGCTTGGTGGACACTGAAAGGGTTAGCTTGTCTAGCTGTATTGTTCGTAACACGCAAGGCCTTCGCGGAGAATTGTACCCTGGCTTGCCGCCCTTCCGGGTTTTATAGATCCCCATCCCTTCCACGGCAATTTTGCATAGCCAATCGGTTGATGCAGAAGTTCTTTGCCTCGACTAGAAAGGTAATCTGAATGAGTCCCCGCATCCCGTCACTTAGGACTGTGGTATATAGTGATGTGTGGTGTCACTGATATTGCGGCTAAAATCCCCGTGCTTACAGATCCTTGAAGTTAGCGGTGACAAGCTTCACGATTTAGAAACGAGGATACATCGGGGGGTTCTCTTTTGGCTAGACATTCTATGTGAAGAATTCCAGATCAGATCCCCTTCGTCACGAAGTTCAAGGCCAGATATAATGCTCTAAGAATAGTATATATGAATACCATTAAAGATTTGGCTGTCCATATTTGCACTCATTCCCGGCAATATGGACGTATCAGGAATCGGCTAAGATGGCAGAACAGTTCCCCACGGCCTGCCAAGAGGAAGCTACGGACGACGGGCAATATGTACTTCTCTTCGGAGAATTGCTAGCTGCAAAGTTGGTTTTGCGGGTCAGCATGTATTATTTTTATAAGTTTAAGAGCTGTCCAGTCATTTCTGTTTTATCTAGCTTTACTCCTTTCCGGTATTTAGACCTAATCATCAAAATGCGGCTTACAAGAATACCCCTATCTGGAGCAATGCTGATTGCAGAGGGAGCGTACGCTCTCCCCAGTCCTCAAGCTCCGTCCGGCAACGCGACAGCTGCAATAACATGCGCCACTGTCCCCTCGCCATTCCCCATGTGGTCAGACTTACCGCAGCAGTCAACGATGCCGGATCCATTCTTGCCATTGCAGTACACGACAAACAATAACGCAGGTAGCCAATCGGCGTCGGCATTTGCTCAAGCCGTCATGACCGGCAAGGGCCAGGGGCGCGTGCAGACCCCGGGGGAGTGGTACCAATGCCGGCAGCCCGAGATCGTCAAGATGCTACAGGAATATCAGTTTGGATACTACCCCGACCACTCACTGGAGAAGGTCGAGGCAACACGGTCCGGAAACACGATCAACATTGCAGTAACAGCGGACGGCAAGACAGGCAAGTTCAAGGCGACCTTGACGCTGCCGAGCGGTGCGAGCAAGGACAAGCCGGCGCCTGTGGTCATCAACATTGGAGGCATGCAGAACCAGCCATACCTCAATTCTGGGATTGCAATCGTCGGCTTTGATTACACCAGCGTAGCTGCTGATAGCAACAGCAAGACGGGTGCGTTCTGGGACGTCTACAAGGGCCGAGACATTGGTAAGTCCGCTCTCATAAGCTCGGTAGCCTTCCGGCTGACAAGTCATAGGGGTTCTGACCGCATGGGCATGGGGTTTCCATCGTACTCTCGATGCACTGAACATGACAGTTCCTGAGATTGACCCGACCAAAGTTGGCGTAACGGGCTGCTCACGTCTTGGCAAGGGAGCTCTGGCGGCAGGTCTCTTTGACAAGCGCATCACATTGACGATGCCCATGTCCGCAGGCGTCCAGGGCACGGGGCCGTATCGCTACTACTCGATGAGCGGACAAGGCGAGAACTTGGAGAACTCCAAGTCAGGGGCTGGCTGGTGGACCAACAGCGTCATGGGCAAGTTCGTCAACCATGCCGAGAACTTGCCATACGATGCCCACACCATTGTGGCTGCCATTGCGCCCAGAGCCATTGTGATAGACCAGGGCACGGGCGACCAGTTCACGAACAGTAAAGCAACAGCCGTCATTGTGTATCCGGCTGCGAAGGTGGTGTATGACTGGCTCGGCGTAGGGGATAAGATCGCCATGAGTGTGAGGAGCGGAGCGCATTGCGATATGAGCGGATCGTAAGTGACTATCATGCTTTGCTCCCGTCCAAGAAACCTCAGAGCTGACTTTGAGTTTCCCAGCACGGCCGTTCTACCGTATGTGCAAAAGATCTTGCAAGGAAAGGCGATCACGCAGGATTACAACAATCTCGGGTCATACGGATCGCCGACCTCGACAGCTTTCCCCTGGGCCACGGCTGTTCCGAAAGCAACATCGTGAAGCTCCCGAGGAAAGGAGATGGAAGGAAGAGGTATAAGAAGATTCATTGTACATAGCCTAAAGACTTGTGAAGAATGAAACCCCCACGCAGACAGCATGCCGAGACTGGCCATAACCAGAATATCCTCTTACCTCTTACTTCGTTGCAGGATGCACCTCCGTGGCGGTCGCTATATCCCAAAGCAGCGATACCGGAGAGGCACTGTACTATCTGTAGAGAAAGAAAAATGATAAGACGGACCTGCTAAGAGTTCAAGGTGAATATGTGGAATAGGAAGACTTGCTGTTGACAAAAGAGGTCCACGTGCCGGATCCAGTGGTAAATAAGCCTCTTGGGCAGTAGGGATTGCACTGCAAAGAGCATTCTGTAGTGGGGCAGTTGGCAATGTTTTGGGTGTTCTACTCGGCTGGCGGACAAAGACCCGTTCCGCCATGCTGGCAATTGGAAGCCAAAGCTTATCCCCGCAAGGAGTAACCCAAGGCGTTAGTCGCTGTTTCGCGACGCTGCGCCATCCATGTCCAGGGAAGGGATCGACTCAATCTTGCTCAAATCTCCAAAGGACACACTCAACTCTTCTCAGAGAGCCATGGTCCAGTCTGCCCCGAGGCCCCAAGTTGATGATAGCCTCAAGAGCGCAGCATGATGATGGAGGAACCCAGTCAACAGCAGGCAAGAGGTCAGTAGCTATTCCGTCCATACATGCATTCACACAATGAATTCCCTCTATTCCGTCAATGCCGGCGGAGCTTGGCAGCGGCATCGGCTAATCTCGAAGCTCCCTTCCCTCGACAACAGGCATCTCGTGGTCTTCCATTCCCACCGAGCTCCTCCTTGCGGAGCTGTCCAGACGCGACGACGATCAAGAACGGCCAGAATGCGGTTCAGGCAAGAAAGGATCCTACGACACCTCGGCGCATGTGCTCGCGCTGGTGTTGATCCTGACATTGAGCACGCTGGGTATGCATCTCGTACACTTCCTGACCCATGTTGTCGCAGGGCTAACCTATCTCCGGGGATACAGCATGCGGGTTCCCTCTCTTCTCGACTAGATCAAAGAGCAGCAAGAGACAGAAGAACATCGTCTTCTTATGTCAACATTTCGGCACCGGCGTCCTCATTGCGACCGCATTTGTCCACCTCCTCCCGACGGCTTTCACCTCCCTTACCGACCCATGCCTACCGTATGTCTTCAGTCAAGGATACAAGCCCATGGCCGGCGCCGTCGCAATGATCTCAGCCCTAGTCGTGGTGGTCCTAGAGTCATGGCTGACAACGCGGGGTGCTGGGCATTCCCACTCGCACGATCTATGGGAAGACGAGGACGATAGCGAGCATGGCGAGGACCATGGCTTCAATAGCTCGTCTGGGCCCAGCTTCAGCGCTAGACGTGGACCAGATCACCGCCCTCGAGATATTGCGCTGGAAGATATCGGAGCATCCGAGGGCTTGATGGCCGGCGTATCTCCCTTGCCAGAATCGACGCCGACCACGCAATCGAATGGCAAGACCAGCCTTCTCAATGGAAGCGGTCGAGGGAAGGATTTTGACGATGATGACGACCGCGAGTCACTCGATCTTGAATTGAATCTAGACGAACTCGACCCTGCTCCAATACATGACCCGATCGAAGACCGGAGACGGTTGACCAACCCTTCCGCAGCGCCGAAGAATGGCCCGTCCGGACATTCAGTCCCCCATATCCCGAATGCTGAAGAGCAGAAAAGACTACTGCTTCAATGCTTGCTTCTCGAAGCAGGCATCTTGTTCCACAGTGTTTTCATTGGCATGGCCATCTCGGTTGCAACCGGGCCGCCTTTCGTGGTGTTCCTCGTTGCTATCGCATTCCATCAGACATTTGAGGGGCTGGCTCTAGGTTCACGTATCGCAGCAATCCACTTCCCAAAGTCGTCTCCTCGGCCATGGCTAATGGTCCTTGCATACGGAACCACGACACCCATTGGCCAGGCTATTGGCCTTGTCATACACAACTTCTACGATCCCATGAGCCAGACGGGTCTGCTAATGGTGGGCTTCATGAACGCGATATCAAGCGGACTCCTTCTGTTCGCTGGACTGGTGCAGCTTCTGTCGGAGGATTTCCTAACGGAGAAAAGCTACAAGACGCTGCACGGGAAGAAGCGAAGGAACGCGTTCCTCGCTTTGATGAGTGGTGCAGGACTGATGGCTCTTGTTGGCGCTTTTGCATAGATCTACTGGTTGCGCTCATGAGCAGTTAGAGGGCGTGGCATTCACTTGAAAACGGCAAGTGACCCAGCATATCTTGGAGTTCAGGTCAGAGAGCATAGGTCGGATATTTGTGACTCTAGAATGTGGTCTTATATGTACGGTCGACGTAATGGCATTAATAACTTTGGTTCCATGATCCTGCTTTTCACCAATTGCAGATGCTACGTGCACTCGCCATAATGGACAGGCTCTACTACCTAAACCTCACGATCGACAGGTGGTGGTCCATAACATTCGCTCTACTTCTTAGCCTTGAGGGCATCTGCTTCTTGAGACACGATCTTGGGTATTTCAGCCCGCAAGCCCCCTTGCTGTGGCTTCCACCCGAGTACTTCCTTCGCCCGCGTGCCCTCGCAGCGCGCATTCGTGCCAAGCATTACCGAGGCGTGCAAGAATATAGCATCCGCCTCGCCGGGTTTGAGCTGGTCAATCGCCGCAGTTTTCACCAGTCCCTGTTCATAAGCCGACTTGGCAACCTCTTCTGAGATCTCACCAAACGTCTTTTCAGATAACATTCGTTAGTTGAGCCGTGTCTAAAAGTTTTCAAAGGTCAGAAGAGGGAGTGAGACCTACCATCTCGCCGCCAGATCCACAGAAGTAAATCCCATTTGAATTCCACACCTTTCCTTCATCGCCTCCCTGGACAGCTTTCTCTACCAGCAAGGCAAACAGATCCGATAGATCGTGAATATGTACATTCGCCCACCGATTCAGCCCGCGGCCGACCTGCGCCCCCTTGCCTCGCTCGATAGTGAAGCGTGCCAGCTCAGGCACCTGTACGCTGCGCTGGTGACATGGCCCGCCGCCCACACCGTAGATGATGGGCGGAAAGACAACCGCGGTGCGCACCTGCGGCGACGAGGCGGCCACCTTCAGCATGTAGTTGTCCACCGCGCGGCTGGGGTACTCCTGGATCAGCGCCTTGATCTCCTCGACGCCGTCGAGGTCGTTGTACGTCTTGTCGCTCGGCTCGCCGAACGTCTCGCTTGCAATCTCGGGCGTGGCCAGCGCGCTTGCGCCGGAGACTTGCACCCAGTATACTATATGGAAGGTAAGCACTACGGCGGGTCTTGCGAGACGATGATTGCGTGCCTGTGTTGGTCCGCTTGGAGAGACCGCGATGGATTGCCTCGACGCTTGGGATGTGGCGGTTCTGTGCCAAGTCTACGAGTTCTGTGAGCTTGTATTATTTGTCCATTGGCATGAGCTACTCACGGAGAACGATGTCGGCTTCTGCGACCTCGCTTTCCAACAAGGAGACATCATCCAGGTCACCTGAAACAATCTTCACGCTTGGGAACTGTTCCAGTATCTGAGAAGCCTTCGCGGGGTCTCTGTTCAGAGCTGAGATCTCATATTCAGGGTGTTTTCCAGCTAGACCGCGAAGGACATCGCCTCCAATATAGCCTGAAGCCCCAGTTCTGAAGAAAGTCAGCGTTCAATTCTCTCATCACTAGATTTATAGAGACCTAGACCAACAAGAATATCTTGACCATCTTCACAGTGTCGCCTCTTCTTTGGAGCAAAACTCTACAAATTGAGAACAACTTGCAATGACGCAGCACGGTTAATTCTCTTATAGCTTGACAGAGCTGTCCGGGTTCGGCGTACATAATCAGCCCAATAATTGGTTCGCTATGACTTGCCATCTCAAAACGGCACTAAATCAGGAGATGCATCACCCAATTGGTGTTGTTGCTGTGGGGTGGGCAGGTAACCGCAGACACGCCGATCAGCTTCTTGCGCCATCTCAGCGAGCTAAAACGACACAGCCGCGCCGTATGGACTATAGTTCATATAAGTCAAGTAGTTTCTCAAGCTTGAGTAAGATATGAAGAGAGATGCAAAGATTCTAACTTGACTACTCAAGGCATCAATTTAACATATTAAAGAAGGCAATTTGATAACTCAAGAGCTTAAAGGCTCTCAACAATAGTAAAGACAATACTATAGCTTTCATAACCTCAACTATATAAGGTATTGACTCGCGCAGTTGTAGTCTTAATTTCCTTAACAGGATGTCCTCAGTAATGAGCCTCAATATCCAGGGAGAAGCTTTGTGTAAACCTTATCTACCTTGCAACTCTAGTTAAGTGTGACAGCCTCAACCATGGCCTTTGTGAAGTCTACCGTACTCCCACTAGGCAAAACTCCTTAGGCCTGCCCGAGAGTCATTGAGTACATCAAGCTTCTTGGATGTCTTCCCTATGTGCTTCATCCAGCTCGCTATATTGCCATGTCTGGGTGCCCAGCCGTTAAGAGACAGTGCTATTACGATATCGCAGCAGTCGTCGAGCTCCAGACAACGCAATACAAACTCAACTAGTCACTACTATCTGGGCTAAACTTCACCATTGGTCGCTTCGAGTCAAAGAGTCGTGCACATCGTCGTACCGCACCTGTGACGTAGGCGAACACGAACCATTATGGGTATCGGCTCGGCGTTGCAACTCTACACATTGCGCATTCTACCGACTGCCCGAGGAGCTCATATTGCAGATTCTGGGCAACTTAGATAATGCAACAAGAGGCATTGCCCAGCGCAGCTGTGGAATATTCATGAAAATCATGTTTAGTCCGGCACTGGACTGCAGGACGCCGAGATGGGGATTTGAACCTTCGTTCCCATTCTGCAATGTTGACCCTTGGCCTCGACTTGTGGTGCCAGACCGTAATCTCTTAGATCGCGACCGATTCTGTGATGGCTGTCTCAGCTTCCGAGAGGATGGGAGATAGGAAAACGCTATGAAGGCGCTACAGAGTACTCTTTGGTGCTCCCACTGCAACGAGTTTCACAAGCGTCCCGTATTCTCATCACAGCAGAGAGCGGCGTCCCCGGTGACACGAATCTGTGTTTTGGCCGAAGGAAAGGCACAGATCTGCAATCACGAGTCCATAGATTACAGGTAGTCCAAGGATCTGAAACCCACCCCCTCGCCTAAGGAGCCATACCGACTATGCCGACATGCTGGAAACACTCATGGGAAGACCCGTGCGATTCCGAGCTCAAACTACATGGAAAGCCTCAAATTAATATTTTCTTCCACAAAGACCGCCCTCCAGGGATCATTTCTCAAGCAACAATCCTCTTGTTCAAGCTTCACCACCAGACTCCTGTGACCCGGGCCTTCTTACAGGAATCACTGATAGCAAATGCACATACACTGAGGAAATTGCTATGTCCACATGTCACAGTCGATGACGGACAGCTGCTACTACCATTCTGCTCGAACCGCTGCGCTTGCTTCAACAGCTTGCGATTGATTAATCATCGTTGTACCGGTCTCAAGATGTTCTGCTGCCACTGTACCGCCGCCGAATTACGGGGCCGAGCTGGATATTTCCTGCCAACATATTTATTTCGTCAACACATCTATGCATGCAGCGTTTGCGATGCTAGTTATACCTGGGGTCGCTCTGGCTCGGCTGTTACTGTCACGATACGCGCTCTGAGGGAGACCTATGAACCAACCCTACCTAAAACCGTCATGGACGTTCGCGACGAGCATGCTGGGCATCTAAGCTTCATCCTGAGTCTTGGAGGGCTTTAGAGGACGATGAGCTCCGCCATGTTGCGCAGTGCGATGATATATTCTGCGCATCGCGGTGGAGATGGGAGCAACTATCGCAGCTATTAGTCCAATAAGATAATGATATTCTAGAGCATTAGGTTGCCTATGTAACCTTTATTCTTCCCTTTGAAGATATGCTTCGGCATCTTCCAACGCAGATTAGCGTGGACTTTGGCTATCTGCCGACGAGTGTAGCCAAGACAAATAGAGGAGATCCGCAATGCACCCGCCAAATAATACACAATCAAGTTATAAGTAAAACGTTTGAGACTTGCACACCCTACGAGTAGCGCGACCTATATACAGGCTTCTCTAGCATTTCAATTACTCCTAATGTTCGCGACCCCACCCGGGCCTAACCGCCTCATAGGTCAAATATAGGAGGACTTCGAGCCAACGCCGGTTCTCAAGGCTGCTTTGTAGCCTGCTCTTTCTTCCACTTCTCCCCCATCGCCTTCACCGTCTCGTTGACTTGCTCGATCTGAGCCCTGGCGCCACTCCACGGCTTGCGCCCCCTGCCTGTGTCAAATAATCGATATATGGCAGGCGAGTCGATGCCATCCATCAACAGGTTGTAGAAACGCCTGTCACTCCACCACAGCTTCCAGGCCGCGGCACTCCAGCACGCTACCCGGTCCGTAACACCTGTCCCTGCGGCTTGATTCATCCACTCGAACGTCGGGTTGGCAATCATGCGGAAGCCAGGGTGGGGGACTGGGCCGCGCTGCATGGTGTCGCACACAAAGTCGTATTGGATGTTGATGTCTTTTGCCATGGCTTCTTTTGACTCCAGGGGGTAGCCACCGGTCCAGGTACTGGCGAGAGCCATGGTGAACAAGTCGTACATCACGAACGGCGGTCCCATGATGAGAGCATGTCCTAGGAAAGCCAAGGACTCTGGATATTGCTCAGACAGGATGCCCCGGTACAAACGGGGGAACGGGCTGTGTGGGTTATAGTACTTTGCGGATGTGATCTTCTTGTAGCCGTCAGGGGCCTTGGTCGGGTCGACGGGGTTTCCGGCACCTTTCATGATGGAGAAGTCGTATTCGTAGCCAGAGCAGAAGATTATTGCGTCAATATCTTCGAGGACCTTTCCGTCTGTCAGCGTGACTGATCGCGGGCCGGATACTTCCTGGATGCCGGTGACCGCCTCCACACCGCCATCACGAAGGTGTTCTGCGAGGTCGTCGGAGAAAACAGGGACTCGGTGAAGGACGCTCTCACTGGGTCGTGGAGCCAGGAACGATGGATGTTGAGATAGCCAGGGGAATGCCTTCTTGCGCGCGGCGACCATCATGTTGCTCATGAGCGTGGCACATGCCCGTGGCGCATAGGTACTGACGGTACGCATAATCGTGAGAGCCCTCCGGTTCATTTGGTGGTCGAATGCTTTCCCATCAAGCCATCGTGGTAGCTATTCCTAGATTAGAACCAGTACGCCAAGCATAGATAGTGATGAGGCTTACCAAGAAGTACTGCCCTCTGTGACTAAGATAGACCTTGCCTGCGCCGGCCTTCTTCAGGAACGAGAGAGTGTCTGCTCCAGTAGCACCAATTCCAACAACAAGCACGTTTTTGCCAGCATACTTGGACGGATTCTTAAACTGACGTGAGTGTACCACCTCGCCCTCGAACTTCTCCATGCCTTTCACTTTGGGCATGTTTGGCACGTTGAGGATGCCCGTGGCGACAACGACACGCGAGAAGGTCCTGCTCTCCTCGGCACCGGATTTGGCATCCTTGGTTATTACTACCCATTTCCCAGTGCTGTGATCTCTGTCGATGCTGATGACCTCTTTTGAGAACTCGATGTGCGGATATAAGTCGAAATGTTTAGCGTAGGACTGGAGATATGCTTCTACTTTCTTCGCCGGAGCAAAGGTAGGATAATCTGAAGGGCGCATCAGATAACATTCTTGTAACGACACAACTTTCGAACACCATACTAACCTTTGGGGTACGGGAAATCTGTGAAGCATGACTTGAGATATTGTTAGCGCCGTGTTCTGTCTACGAAGCCAGAACATGCGATGCATACCACTTGTGTGGAGGTATTTAGAGTCGTCGCCTCGACCACCGAGGTCTGATCTCTGTCCGAAACATGCCAATTGCCAGCAATGAAGTCATTGCGCTCGAGTGCGGTAGGCTCAAGCCCCTGCTCCTTGAGGTTTTTGATCGCCAAGAGTCCCAGCACGCCCGTACCAACAACACAGACGTCCTTGCCCAAGCCTTGTACCGTCGATGCCATCACTGCGTATGTCGTTCAACCACAATCTCGGGAGACAGCTTCGTGTGAATCTCGCCAGTACGTAATATATGTACAAAAAGTCTAATCCCAGCTCGCAAAGAAACTCCCACGTCATGTCTTTTAAGTTTCCTTGTTGGCTGGGTGCGGACGAGGCGTATCTATCTACCTTACCCAAGCCCGCGCCGCCTACCTCGCCGCACGCCGTTGGTTCAGAAGGATTTAGCGGCCGTTCCAGTGCAGCGAATGGGGCATAGATCGTGCTGACCTGGCGCCAAAGGCAATCTTCCTGCAGGATTGCTGGCTTCCTTTAGGACGGGGGGCACGTATATGGCATTTGCCGAATGATACAGGATTATTCAGCTATCTGTTTGCCTTACAGGGCGATCATATGCAGTAGTTTGCGGAGGCCTGGATCAGAGTCTGGCACTGGGCGACATTCAACTTAGCGCAGGGCGAGACCGAGCGTCTCGGATTCAAAACCTCAACTATCATGTATCTCGTCGTGAACAAGTAGTTCAAATGTTTCAGCTTAAAGGTACTAGAGCATATGTTCATTGAAATCTGACCAAAGCATCGCCGTTGATTACGTAGCTATACGCTGCTCCGTCCCTAGCGAATCGCCATACGCCAATGTGCCCGAGAGGACGGCCGCAGTCAGAACTATGCTGTAAGAGCTAAATAGCAGTCTCCACAACAGCTCTACCCTTCTAGGGTGCTGGATCCTTAGTGCTGACACGAGATCCGGCTTGGAGGTCGTCGTACTCTGCAGCGTTAGACTCGTCGTCACGGCGGCCGGGAGGAGATAGGCGCGGTGATGGGTTCGCGTACAAGAATAAGACCTGCGTCGGCGCTCACCAGAAACGTGGCAGTATCAGGACAGCACATGTCAGCTTTCCCTCGGGCAGTTATTCTCGCCGGGCACCGATTACGCTGCTATCGACTTACGTTCACTGTTAATGTAGGTATGTATGTATGCCTTTTTATAGGGTATCAACATGGATTGATTCCTATTTACTACGAGACAACTCGAGCCTCGACAGATTAAACACGCGCCAAAAGGGTCTTCCCCCGTGGCGCGCGATGATATATATCGACAGTCTAATAGTCTAAAACGGACATGGGACCAAATGCGGCACCGGCCCCATCGATGCACACCAGAATTCCAACTACATTCGAGCACACAACACCATTTGCTTGAACATCAACACCCTTCCATCTCCTCTTCTCGCACTATAGTGGGCTATTCGATGCGCGCCGGCCGAAGCCGTGCCGACGGCGCGGTCCACCGCTAAGCCCTTGACGCGCAACATGAGCGCAGAGTAAGCTTCGCTCGCTCACCGATTACCCTGGCCTGGCGGCGCTCAGTTCGTGGGCAGGCGGGCCTTGCCGTTAGCCTTGGCAGCCTGGAGAGCGCCAGAGAGCCCGAACTGCGTTGGGATGCCGTCGACACGGTGAGTCGAGTTGAGGTTCTTGACCAAGACAAACTGGAAGCACGTCGCGGTGCCCTGGCGAGAAGCAATGGTGGAATAAGCCAGGAAGTACTCCCAGATCTATGAGCCATCAGTCAGCAATAACTCGTACCTACGGAAGGAGATAAAGAGGCAAGAAAACGTACCCGGAACCATCTGGTGCCATACTTGGCCTTGACCTTGTCGGCGTTGCCGAGCCAGTTTCTGTACCAGCGCCAAAGAGTGGCAGAGTAGTGGACACCAACCGTGTCAACGCTAGTAACCAGTCAGCCTACGGCAAGTCACGATCCTGGAAATAGGGTCTTTCTACCTCTTGACCTCCCATCCAGCAGCCTCCATGCAACCAACGTACGGTCCCAGAGGGGTGGAGGCGTCAGCACCGGGGAAGATGTACTTGGTCATGAACAAACCCCAGATGAAATCCTCGTACTGCCACGCCTTTCGCAGACCAGACACCTGGATATAGCACACACCATCGTCCTCGAGGAGGTCATAGAGCTGCTTGAAGAAAGAGCTAAGCTTGCGGATACCGACGTGCTCGGCCATCTCGAGGGCGGTGATCTTGTCCCACTTCTTGTCGTCGGGGATATCACGGTAGTCGGACACAATGAGGTTGCTCTGCTCCTCGGGCACACCGGCCTTGCGCAGAGCGTGATTGCCCCAGGCGACCTGCTCGCGGGCGAGGGTGACGCCGGTCACCTTGGCACCGTAGTTCAGACTGGCGAACTTGGTTAGGGTACCCCAACCGCAGCCAATGTCCAGCAGAGTCTCGCCCTCCTTGAGACCAATCTTCTGGCAGACAACTGCCAGCTTGTTGTCCTGTAGCTCTTCCAGAGTCTCTTCACGGGTAGGGTCGGAGATGAGGCCGGAGGTGTAGATCATGCGCGGGCCAAGGAACCAAGCGTAGAAGTCGTTGCCGCGGTCGTAGTTGTCACGGACCTGGTCCTCATCTTGACAGCTTGTTAGTTGTGCGCGAGTGGGAAGATAAGGCAAGAGTCAGAACGAACCTTGCTGGCGACTGTGCATGATGACATCGGGAGCAAAAGTGAACAAGATGAAGCGGAAGAGGTCCCAGGTGATATTGAAGGTAGCCCAATCATGGCGATACTCGAGGATGTCGAGGCAGTCGCCATTGAAGTCGACATCGCCGTCAAAGTACATTTCCAAGAAGGTGGTCATGGGGATCTTGTGCTTGCCCCAGTATCTAGCCTTGTCCGCATCCTTCTTAAAGGTGAGGTAGTGCTCAATGGGCCGGCCGGGCAGCTTGACTTTTTCGTTGAGGCGGGGGCTGTAGTTCGAGGCCACCCACCAGAAGGCGACGAGAAGCGGGACGAGGGTGAGGATGAAGAAGAAGATTGTCGTCTTGAAGCCACCGCCGATCTTCCATGCGAGGTAGACTGGCACGCCGAGGAGGATGGTGAAAAGGGCAATGTTGGAGAAGCTCTCGCTTCCAGGGCCATCGGCGGGCAGAGGAGCGTTCTTGATAGCGGGAGACTTGAAGCACAAGCATAGAGTCAGTTACGGGGTCAATTGATACCGGAACAGAGGCATATTGGATCGGATCTGGATGGGATGCTCACCGCCGTGATCTTGACACCGCAGTCGACGCCCGTCTCGAACGTGGGAGGCTGGACGGGCGGGGTCTGGATGAAGTCAATGTCATCCTCGGTGAAGGGGGCTTTCTTGATGCCGTCCGCCATGATGACGATGGCTGAGGGAGAGGGATTGAGTGCGTCGAGAGAAGCCTGAGCAGGCGTCAATGACCAATGGCTCGAGCAGTCAATTGATCAGTCGTTATACCGGTATATGGAGGAGGAATAAATAGAAGTCCGTGATAGACGGCGAATGAATTAGGTGGAGGAGAGATTCCTAATTTTCCCCCCCCCTGGTCCAAAAGGTGTGTGCTGTGTGGCCTGTTGTGGCGGTCAAGCTCCCTGGGTCCACTTCCCACAGTTCGTGGGCCGCCGGCGAAGCTCGGGCCCTCTTCGAGAGCTTTGAGCACCCCGCCAAGCCCGCCAAGAATGACGCGTAGCTGCTCGAGCTGCTGGAGCTCTCTCCTCTCGCTGGCCTGATGAGGGACGGTAACGGTAGTAAGCCCCTGAAGATCTAACGATGCTAGCGGCGTTTCAGCAACACCAACCTACCTACCTAGGTACTCGAGCTACTGTACCGATCTCGCACCGCCACAGTAGTTGACCTAGTTTGTGGCCTTTCACCCAATGCACATGTGGCTTGCGTACACATCAAAGCCACACAGAAACGTCGTTGTGGCGTTGTGGAGTGAGGAGCATGCCACAGATGTCGAGATACGAGCGAGAGCCTGTTAGAGGCGCATGTATTAGTTGCTACCGAGGGAAATACTCCTCATCTGGCCCCGGACATCTTCTAAATCTCCGGGCCCGATCCATGAACTCGAAGGCATCCACCTCGATGGCGACACGACGAATTCTGCCCTTCCAAGTCTACCCTCGAAACGCCTGTGCTCCAAACCATACGCGGCGCACCCGCCTCTGAGATCCTGGCTAAGCGTCTAGAATGTTCATGTTGTAATCAAATGGGATCCCCTCCAATGCAAAGGGGACATGCTGGTTCTCCCCCCACAGCGGCCACATCTGGTTCCATTCATTGGTCCAGGGTCCTCCAGGGCTCAAGATGTCTTGCGAAGCTGGAGCGTGAGAGCCAGACAGCTCCTGCAGGCTGATTGCCGCCTCGGTGACGTGGTCGGGCGTTGGGTCAGCCGTTGGCTTGTCGGCAGTCTGCAGCAGGTAGTCCGTCTCCGTCGGGGGGTTGGCACCGCAGTCCTGCATCGACTTCTCCAAGGCTATGAAGTCAAATCGAGTCTTGCCCCGGAAGCTGTTGTGGTTCTGGCTGGCGCGCTGATAGAGTGTCTGGCAGTGCCAGATCGTGGTCCACCAGCCCTCGCCCATGGGTAAGACTTTTCGCAGGCGGTCGAGAAAGGCCATGTTCACTGCGAGAGTCGCCGCGGAGTCGGGGCTTCGTCCCAGGTTATATCTAGGATAGCAGTTGATGTAGATGTTGATTGTAGCGGCAGAGAAACTGCAATACCCAGCAAATGGTGTGAGAAGAGAGGCGTCGGCTTGTTCGAGGTCTTCTAAGAGCTTCACAATCTGGACAGCTGAGTCGCTCATTTGACCGACTATATCATTCCAGTAGCCTGGTGGTGCTTCGCTCGGCAAGAAAGGCGGATCGCTAGGCCCAACTGGTGTCGACTCCGGGGATGGGAGAAAAGGGATCCATTCCCTGCCCAGAAATAAGATACTAAGTATGTATCGTTAGCCTTGTAGTTTCTCATCACCCCGAGAAGGCGCATACCATATGTAGTAGATGAGATTCACGTAGGCAAACGCCTCTGCTTGACCCAAGACGGCATGACCCTCAACACCCGTTTCCGGATACCGCAACCGCACGTCCTGGGCCTCTCTCCACCTCGATATCTCATCGTACATCATCCCCCAGGCTGAAGTCTTTAGCCAAGGGCAGTTCTCAGGATCCGACATTCCAGGAAGCCGCCGTCCTCCAGCCAAGACCCAATTGAGTATTCTCGCCCAGATATCGAAGCCCCTGACGAGAACATCATAGTAGTGATCGATATCGCCCTTCATTCCCTCGAGAAGATGCTCTCTCTCGTCGTTTGCATGGCGATGGTCGCTAGACTGTTGAGCAAAGGCAAAGTCCTGCTCACCAATGGGCCAGTCAATCTGCAGGCGCTGCAGCCCATATGCCGCCAGATCGAATGGAACAGACCGGCCGCAGAAAATCAATCTGTCCAAGACATAGCAGCTCCAGATGCTACGGCTGTGGACTTCACGCTCAATCGCAGTAAGCTGACCGGGCTTGACCAAAACCAAGATTGAGTGCATCATCCGAGCTGCCATCCCGCTGAACATCCACCCTCGGTAGGCGTTGGCGGTACTCCACTCGTAGACGGACATGACAACAAGTGTTTGCGCGGTGTAGATGTCCGGCCCATCGATAATTTGGATGTTCTCACGGACATAGCTCGCATACCTATCGGCGGGTAGGTTTGACTTAATGTATCTACCGCATAGAGCAAGTATTGAGGCACAAAGTAATTGCAGTTTTGATCTCGGGAGACACTCCTCCCTATTGTGTGGATTCGATGTTGCATGTTGCCGTACTGCTTTCGTAAATGAGGGAAGATGAAGAAATCTAAATTCAGGAAACTTCCGGCAGAAGGCAGTAGCTGCCTGCAGGACGATAGGGATAGTAAGGCGGCAAAAGATGTTATCTTCGCTGTCTACCACCGTGCTCGACGATGATGGGCTAGAGCTGGTCGGTGGCTGACTAGACCATCCAGGTGCCGTTAGGCCCTTGTTCCTTGAGTTGACACGTCTCAGGATACTTAATTCTGCCACCGGAGATTTCGATACTGCTGTACTTACAATACTGTGCCATTTTTAAGCACAGGGCCGCTTAGCACACAGACTGAAGAGTCGGGTGGTCCTCGCTTGCAGCAGTTGCGGCAAGGGGCTACTCCTTCGTGGTTGCACTTCACTTTCAGCCTTCTACGAAGTTGGCCCGTCAGTCGAATGGATACAAACTCTAGAATACATGAGAACATACCGGCACCGTGCACATGCAATCGTTGTCCGGACCATCGCGTAGCACTAAGCCGGTCGCGTTTACTTCGGGTGCCAGGCCTCGCGTCACTTGGTGAACCTCAAGCGGCAAGCCAAGGTTTTGGCAGTATCTATACAATGTGGCGTTCGTGTTTCTAGTGAATTACAGAACCCTCAGACCCTCACGGTAACTTCGGTTCTGCACAGTTCGGGGGACCAAATCTACGACTTTGAATGATGATCCTGTCAGACCCGATAGCCGTCGGGTTCAGCCTAGACGGGTCTCGGGTCTGAAACCCGGCCATATCCGGTGTGCTGACGGAGTTCAGCCCCATAAATAGCAGTTACTACCACCGTGACTGAGCATGTTGATCAGATAGCCTGTTGGAGTGCCCGAGCAGAGTGAGATTTTGAGTGCCACCTGACTGGCTGCGATCTCGGACATATCACCTCTCTAGGAGAGATCAGCTTTGAAAGACGGAGGCCGGAGGTTCTACTAATCTCCGTAGCTCCCCAACTTCCAATCAAGTGGCTAACATGTGTCCAAACCACAAGCCGAGTGTATACTCTACAGGATCGTCTTGAAACAAGGTTATGACTTGTAGTCCGAGGAAACGTTACGGTCTCATTCAAATCGCGTTATAGCATCGATAGATGATTCCTAAAAAGCAACTAGACCGAACGAATTGATATTCTCTGAAAACAAACATCTGAATAAAGTTGAGCACTGACGCCCTGGTATAAGTTCAAAATACGCCATCATGAGTCGTGACCATCAAATGACATCTGTTATCCATATCTCAACGCCTCTCAGTTACAGTGCTGCTCATTCTCTTCTTATCAGACATATAAGAACCAGGGGTATATGGTTCCGAAGCTTGAAGACCTGGCGCGACATAGGCTGTTGCCTCCCTTGGCACCGGGGAGTAGCGTCTGCGTTTGCAGCATAAACTGTTCATGGTTAGCACATTGCTCTTTGGGTTGGGAATTAGTAGTTGAAGTTGGAAGACATACAAGATTCCGGCGATGAGTCCAGCCAGGAATGGGACGCCCAATCCCACACTCAAGCCGATAATCAACTTGTTCGAGACACCACCTGTCTTACCGTTGATAATGCTGTCAACGTCTCCATCTCCGTCACCACCATCATTCCCAGTAGATGTTGGCGGTGGTGGAACATATGAGACCGGACTGCCTGAGCTCTTGATGAGTGACTTCACGCCAGCACCAAACGGCACCGTCTTGAGAACCGCGTTTGTGATCGATGAGGGGAACACCGCATCTACACCTGACGGAACAGCAGTAACCAAAGTTCTAGTAGAGGTCACCTTGTTGGTGGTCTGAAGAGAAGCAGGGCAGTTGATCAAACCCTCAGAAAGACAGGAGACGCCCTTGTAGACAATTTCCGTGCTGATGGTTGTAGTCGTCACATCACTGTCGTCATCTCTTGCAGAGATAGCAGCTGCAGTGGTGGTTGGCGATGCCTTGCCACTAATAGCACACGCATCAGCCATAGTAGTATAGAAAATCGGAATCTCGGTTTCTGGTGTTGGGCCCCAAGTGCGTGTACCAAGGGCGACGGATGCTCCAGCTTTAGCACCTAGAGCAAGCTGGTACGACTCAACAACGCGAAGCTTGCATTCGTCATCATCACCAGCGAATGACGCTGTGACATTGGTTGAAAACTCGGCGATGTGTGCATACACACCGACTTCCACACCGCCGCTTGCGCTTAGACTAAACACACCAGCTGTGGACATCGCAAAACCGGCATGAAGGCCAACGCGAAGAACAGCTTTCAGAGATGCTCCGGCGCTTTCGATTGTGACAGGAAGAAACTCAAAGTCTCCGCCATTACTAGAAGGATGAGAGTTAGTATAGTGCTAAGCGCTTTAATAAAGATGATATCTTACAAGTCGATGCTGGAAATGTTGTCATCAAACATAGGGATATCAATGGCTAGACCATCATCGAGCTTGATGTGGAAGCCAGTGCTTATGTCAATCTCTCCATCAACTGATAGGATGAGATCAATGTCAAAAATCACGCCAATTTCCAGATTCTCGCCAATAGCGAAGCCGATAGGAGATTCTGATGTGTACAAATTGAGAGTATAAGTAGCTCCAGCGGATAATACAGTGTCGATGAGGACATATAGCTCCATCCCGTCGAACTGGAACTGCAGCTGGCACTCAGGGATATCAGGAATGTCAATGTTAAACTCGACGTCGATGGGCGGGAGATCGAAGTCGTCGACGTCAATTCCATCGGCAAGGTTAGTGGTAACGTTGCCAATATAGTCCTCGACATAGTCAACAACAGTAGTCGTAACATTATCAATCCCTTGTTCCACGTCATCTGTGAAGTTGCCGAATGCGTCACTAACGTCAAAATCGCCATCAATGGTGAGTTGAGCAGTGGCTAGACCCTGGATGTAGCATGTTGTGCAAGTAATGCTGACAGAAGCTTTGGCATTGGCATTATCATCCCCAACTTCTTTCTCACTAGATAGATTATATTGTTAGCAACGATGATGGGTCACAACATTATACTTGAAGGTATAGCTCACTAGCTGAAAAGCACTGCACCATCCCAACTCTTATTCATGGATGTGCTATTCTTGAAGACTGTGTCTCTCTCAGCGAGGGTAAGAGCCCGACGAAGAGCTGTTAAAGTCTCAGAGGTAGACATGCCCGGGGCATTGCGAACCCGGGCAGCTTGAGACGCCAAAGCATGACCAACTGTGGCAGCACTGGCAGAGACCGCCCACAAAAGGGATAGCCCGAGATGATTGAAGTGCATCTCACACCAAGAAGACTTTGTTATGATATGCAAGCTTTTCGAGTATGAAACCGATATTGAGGTGATTCTCTCAAAAAAACTGCGTTACTCAAGCTAGTGATCTAGTAACTAGTCCGTTGTTAATATCACAGCAGGTCTTGGGTGTCTCCTTCTTATATCGAACAAAGCTAATCCCATCTCTCGCATGGCATGTTTGCTCCTGCTCGGCACCAATGCACATTCTTGGGTGCTGTTGTAAAAAGCCACATGAGGGGGCTGCGGCGGCGCTGTAACAGGGCAGGGGGTGTGCAGAACTAGGTGTGAAACCTTGACCCTGCAGCGCAAAAATTGGGGGTTGTGCCAGCTAATTTTCACGCTTTTGAGGCGGAGCTGCGCTTGTCTTCTGGCTGATAAAGCACTTCTAGCCCAAATTGTCAAGCATCCCGGTCGAGATCTAGGGAAATAATCCTACAGCCTCGTGAGGCTACCCTTGCTGACTTTCTACCATCTTGGCTAATCTCACGATATCTTGAAGGATCTTTGGCGACTGACCGTATAGTTTATCATTGATGAGCTTTTGCACTAGTTTTCAAAGACCCCTATAACTTCCGCGATGCGGCGGGAAATCCATGTTGATTCTGGTATACTAGCTTTGCCAAATGTTTGTAATCGCCTTTCATTGCGTCCTGGAGCTAACGCAACAGCAATCATTATTTCGTCGCTGTTGCCAAAAAAGATACCATGCAGACTGGAAACCACACATGTTTTCCGCAAGGGGGCTGTGGATACAATATGCCAAGACCGTCAAGGAGTGAAGCTAAGTTGCCGAAGGCCTTACGCCGCACGCTACAGAATCACCTAACGTTAACGGCTGACGTAAAGATATAGCTTTCCATATCAGGGCTCAGAATTTAAAAAAAAAGGGCGGTTGTTTCATCTCGCGGAACGATCCCGATTACCGCGATGAAAGATGCGCCTCAAGAGCGATATGGCTAGGTTACTACAAAATAATGAGAGGTTTCTCCAAATTGTGCGATTCTGACTTGCCTATATCCATACTACCTACCAAGCCAGGTAAATGAGTTGCCATATGGCGCCAACTTCGCTTTATCGCGTGTTTTGCTGAACCTCGTCAAGGCATCTTTTATCTAGCCCTCGTGCTGAACAACTGAGGTGTGCATGCCCCCTCCTCAGGGAGCCTTGGCAGCTTCAACAACCGTGTCACGGCCTACAGGCCTACAGCCAAGGTGGCTGAGGTGTTGTTGGTGACAGACCTGCAGGTGAAACCCACATCACGCAATCTCCTGCCATTGTCGGTGTAGTGGGGACCTGCGGCGTGTGCGTTGGAGGATCAGGCTGAGGCCCACATTGGGGGCGGAAACTCGGCATTAAAGATACTGAAGTCGTTTGGGCTATGCCATTCTGTGCCGGGAGAGTACAGCTCTCAATACTGTTAGAAAAGTCCGGCATTCTGTGTTGCCCAAAGCAGCAACACTAGTCCTTTCCCATGCAGAGCCCCAGCCCCAAAGGCACATATCACTACACTCTCTAAATTTAGAAATGCAGTTGCATAACCCGAAAGGGATTTGTGCCCGCCGTTTAGCACGCGGGAAGTTACTCGGGGTCCAGACGGCAGGGCACTCCCGCTGCCACAAGCCTGTCGAACAACACCGAATCAGTCATTCTGGATGCCATTGGCACACCGCAGCAGATCGACTACACTGAGTGCTTACTTCACAGCCTTCTCCGACTAGCATTGAAGAAGACAACACTGCGGTGCGGAACATCAATTAATATCATGCTGCACTGTAAAGCTCATGGGAATGCCTCGAAGGGGGCATCTATACCATCCTATTATGCGCCTCACACCTTGGCATTCTGAGCTGAATACTAGAAACGATATTTGATCTATTCGTCGACTGTGGAACTTGAAGTGCGGTCTAGCCGAATAATTGTCACAATCCCGTTATGCCAAAGAAAACCCTGCCTTGAGATCATGTCTTCCCCCTGTGCTCGGTATCCGAGCCCATCAAGTCTTTGAAACTGTACGAGCGCTACTTTGTAGGTTATCACTGAGCTTACTTACAAGAGCTATTCAAATTTGCAAACTACCTTAAATGTTTGTTTCGTTGACGAGCATGAGGCCCAGAAATCAATTAGGCTCGGCTCACACTTGTTACACTTGTTAGCTCAGTAGTTACTCTTGTTGTTCCTTGTACTTTTTCTTTCTCTATGTTGACGCATTTCCAATAAGGGTTATCTCAGCCATTCTGCAGATGACTGACAAAACCAATAGAATTTTCTACATCACGTTTGCAGCATCAGACCTGCAGAGGGGGCCATTCTGCGTTGGCAATCCGTCAGCTGTTCTAACCACCCAATCTTCGCTGCCCACAGTTGTGGGTGCCCAAAACAAGCCCCACGGGTCCCGAGCCTTCTTAATTGCCAGCAGCTTGTCGTAGTTTGATCCGAAAAAGCTTTGCTGCCAATTGGGTTCTTGCACGTCAGCTTCGTTGAGATATGATCCTGCACCAGGTGTGACTGCCCGAATTTTGTCCATGTAACTATTGAAAGTTGCATGAGCATTCTTCAACGCCTGAGCTGGCAGCCCTGTTGCTGGGGCCATGTCGAAGAAGTCTGCATGCATCAACGTATTCCGGAAGGCTGGATTCACAGCGCTACCTCCCGGATATCCAGCAGTCTTCTCTGTCGGAGCAACCTGGACCCCGTGAAATGAATATCCAGCCTCTATCACTTGACGCATTGCGGTCATTGTTTCCTCAAATAGCGTATCGTTCTCCCAATTCTGCCTTGGCATCAGCCGTGTGGCAAATCGGATGTTACCTGGCGCATCACCCTCTCCTTTCCGTGTGTCTCCCCAGCTGAGAGAAGTTACAGGTTGACTATTGTTCACGGGTATACCAATTTCTTTGAGATCATCAAAAAGCGGTTGCACAAATTCATAAGCCTCTTGCTTTGACATGCCTGGCATTTCGAGAGTCGTGGTGAAACTAAAGCTGGTGTTGCTCAAAGCGGTAACATAGCTGTAGCCGGTGCCACCAGCATCACAGAGTTTAGTGCCGAACTTGAAGTACGCGTTAACGCCACGCCAGAACGTTTCAGGATCTTGAACGGTCACTGGCGGAGTGTATGAGAAGTTACCTGGGAAAGTGAGGTTTGTTGGGATAGAAATGTTGAAAGGATTTGATGTGTTGGATGGTGGTAAGGTGAAGTTTAATGGATTTGACGTGTTGAAAGGAGGTATTGTGAAGTTGAAGGGAAATGAGCCGTTAGGAGGAATAGAGAAATTACCCCATCCGGGCGTTGAGAAGCTTCCCGCCATAAAATTGATAGCAGATTCTGTCACCTCGATTGGAGGATATGCTTTGACAATGGCAGATGTGACAACACCATAAGTTCCTGAAAAATAGCGTTAGTATCCCAAGACATTTCATTAGTCTACTAAACTGTTTACCTGGACCACCTCCTCGCAGGGCATAAAATAAGTCAGTATTGGTTGTTGTGTTTGCGGTAAGCAGTCTTCCGTCGGCCGTCACCACCTCTAAGGAAAGCACTTGGTCTGAACCTAGACCATAGACAGAGCTTAGGGTATTGTGACCACCAGCGGACATCCACCCGCCATATGCACCAACTGTGCTGCCGCCTGGTACGACTAAGGTCATGTTGTACTGAGCCATATATGCATATAACTCCCATGCCTCAAGACCTGCGCCAACTCTTGCAGCCATTCCCGAGTACTCTCCTTGACTGTATTCCGGAAGGAATTCAAAACTTTTCAAGTAGTGAGTCCAGATACTAAGTGCTCCATATCCAGTTGATCGTCCAGCGAAGTCATGTCCCGTGTTTCTATGACATATATGAGACAAGCGATCGGAATGATGAACTTCAAACATACTTAATTACCAGCCGCAGATTCTTATTTCTGGCAAAGTTGACTGTCGCTTGTATGTGCTGTACTGTTGTGACATTGACGACATATACTGGAAAGCCACCTTGGGTACACGAGCCTACTGGGGTGAAGGTGGCGGGACATGTGCTCCCTTGTGGCCATTCAGTCAACACCGTTAGTGGGTCATTTAGATAGAAACGACTATCAAAAGAGCTGAACAAGAGTGATATACACTTAGTCATGTCTCTTGAAGGGCCAGGATAGCACACAGCGGCCGGAGGAGCGGGTTGCAGCAAGACGCCGCCCAGCGAAGAATTGAACATGGTCCAATCATCGAGTGATGGCCATCCATCACTGCCTGGATGCTCTCTGCAAGTTGATCCACTATAATTAGAGCTCGGAATAGAGCTATCACCAAAAGCTACCGCAGGGAACTTGTTAGCTTCTTCTTCTGTGAGTTGTATTGATTCCCAGGGAAAGTTTTCGGAAGCAGCCAAGTACAACAGCTCGAAAGCTGCGACGTATCCTAAGAGTCTCATCTTCGCAGGGGGACAATTGCCGTATATCTTCCTAAACCAGAAAGCTTTTCACAGGTTGCAAGAACATTCTCAGCAGCAATGAGAGCTGACGCTTGTATGTATTATACTAATGGCATCCCTGTTGGCGCTGATGTGGAAATATGGCCGACTTGTCCGGGAAATAAATCCCGAGCCGCTGCAAGAGCAAGCTACCCGTGCCGAGTATTTTATCCACAAAGTGCCTCAAGCAAACATATATTGCGTGCCGATAAACATGCGTGGGCAATACTCACGAGTCTTTCGATCTCCTACGAGTGCGCATACTAGCTTTTTGTCTCTGGACGAGATTGAAAAGAAAATATGCATTTACATGCGCAATTGAATGGGACGTTCTTCTAGCGAGCTTTTACTTAGCTATGTTCTTTTACCCGTCTAGGACCGCAATGCTCATGCAGGTTCAGTGCAGGTGGTTGCGACCATTGAAAATTGAACTTTATTACTGTCTATATGATCTGCCTTGGCACTTGATATGGGTGACGAGACCGGGCTACTCCAACGCCTTCGTCTTGGCGTTTTATCTGATGATCGAGAACATTGATCACTTCATTGTTTGAGATGAAGCTCAACTAGTCTTCTCTGGTATTGTATATTTAAGACGATGAGAAACGACAGATTTCAACTAGGCTTTTGTATTCACCAGTCGTTCTCGAGTGCTCTAAGTAGTGCTATGCAGCATAAGAGCAAGATTTGCTGAAATCATAGTTTGATTGTATTATTTACCCGGTAGATAACCCTGAGATTCGCAGGAGGAATGTGAATCAGGTGCCGCGAATTTGAAGCCACAGCTGGTCATTTTACTCCGAAGCTCAGCCGTCGGGTTGCCCCTGTCTGAGTGCGGGGGCTGAAGGCTGGCTGAAGACTGGCTGAGCCTGGAAGTCAAGCAAGCCAACGACAAAAATCTGACACAAAGAGTCGTGATTGGATAAGTTTTTCAAGAAGAACCATCTATTTATACGGAGAAAGCGTCTTGGCGATCATAGCCAGTCTCAGAAGAACGTATTATGTCAATCCACGAGGCCGTAGGGCTGACGGAAAACAGCCCCGTTGATCAGGCAAGGCGCCACAGCTACACATAAATATCGTATAGATGTCTCGGAGGACTAAGTTAGCGAATTTAATATTGAAGTCATGGGCCCTTCAATAAGGCGTCAGTCTCTTATAAAAGTCACGCCAGTCGCTCCAATGGATTAGAGGCCTTCTGTTTTGTCTTGTAGAATGAAATCTACTTTGACTTTCGTAAATTGAGATCTCAATCACTTATCGACAAGAAGACAGGATGAAGCCGTATTCTGTGTTGGCTCTAGCCGCCACAAGCGCAGCTTGGCATATCGTGAGTGGCATCTTATGCCCAACTAGACAGCCTTGAAGTGACAACCTGAATAGCCGTTAGTTGTGCGCCAAACATCAGTAGGCACAGATCAGCCGCGGCCGACATCATCTGTGGACGCAGGATCCTCGGTTGCCAGCGCTACAGCAACAAACACGACATCGTCCCGGAGGGGCCTTGGTGGACCAAGCAAGCCGCTGACGGCAACGGAATTTCTTACACCATCTGCCACATTGGATTGGTCAACTATTGTTACGGTAGACTTGCCGAATCTAGCATCACCCCCTGTTCCAACCGGAAACTCCAACGCAACCAGAGCCAGAATGGTTCGAAGGGGGTTGCGCGTAGAAGAACGATCAGAGGTTCAGAACCGAGCGGACGCAACTGCTGTTGACTGGCGCAGATATTACGGACTGAATTGGCTCACAAGTGTCCAAGATCAAGGACGTTGTGGATCTTGCTGGACGTTCGCTGCTGTGGCTTTGGCCGAAACTCAAGCTCGGATTGAGCACGGTGTCTGGAATAAGAGAAGTGAAGCTGATTTACACGATCAAATGGGATGGAAGTATGTCCCCTCTTTCAATACTGTGAACGTTAATAGAGACCTAACGTACCTCGCATAGTTGTATACAAGGTGGGTGGGTGGAAGTAGCCTTGGACTACTCTCTCAACAATGGTCTTGGTATAGCTGATGTCCAATGCGATGTCTATACCCAAGACGATCAGCCCTGGTCTACCTGTGAGGACCGGGTCGGTCGGTCGCTGAAGTTTCCCAGATGGACTGGGGTTGCCGACGTTGACGACCAAAAGACTTGGCTCAATGAAGTCGGCCCATTGGCTGCTTGTTTCAGCGTATTCAACGATTTCTACTCTTTCAATTTCGCCTCTGGTGCAGCGTATAAATATGATGAAACATCCACTTATGTTGGAGGTCATTGCGTACTTATCGTTGGCTACGATGACGAAATCGGCGGGTGGCTATTCCGCAACTCATGGAGCTCGAGTTTCGGAATGGCAGGCTACGGATACATCGCGTAGGTTCTTTATCTTGACCAGAGGAGTATATGACTAATATCTCTAGTTATGGAACGGCGGCAATCGATGTTTGGGAGAAATTTGGCATTAATAATATGGCTATAGATCCCTGGGTCAAGAAGAGGCACCATAATGGTAATCTGTATGTAATTTGGCCATTGGCAAGTTTTAGCTCGTAAACTGACACTGAGTTGCCAGATACCAGTCAAGAAACGGAGTCACACATCGAAATTTTGAACTCCTCCGGTCAAATACCGACAGTGGCCTTCAAGTCGTTCACCGAGATGGAGAGCCTCCTTTCACTTGGCAATTCGATGGCAATCTCTATGATTCTCTCACTGTATTTGGCCAGCCAACTATCACTGGGTCATCTTTCAGCGATGATCTTGAAGTAGTCTATGTTACTACTACCGGCGGTCTTGCTCATTGGTACTTCTCCCAACGAAAGAACGATTGGCTGTTTGCAGGGTACGATAATGGATTTTGGAACGGACAACAACATTACAGCCCAATATACTTTTATCAATCATTGCAAGGTTATCCCGGATTTGCCCAGACAGACGACTCGGCATTTTCATTAGTAGTCAGAACAAGTGATGGAGCGTTAGCAGAGGTAGATACTTCTTTTTCCACTTGTAATGAAGCAGTTTTGTCTAACATGTATGAAGTATATTCGAAACGCTGAGACAGGCCATTGGATTCTCGACGCAGCGAGCATCATTTCCCCAGCCGGAAGTATCAGACAATCCGGGCCCTCTCTTGTTCAGTCAAATATCAATCTCGACATTTATGATGAGACTAGTCAGGGGAATGTCTATGTTGTGGCTGTCTTGGAGACTGGCCAGATGCAGCTGTTCTGGCGCACTGCAGGGGCGACTGGTGAAGAGGCGTGGGCTCCTTCAGAGATCTTCGGTAGTTGTATCGAGCACACTCCCCCGGTGATGATCCAGGACTTCTGGCGGACAGATGACGAGCGATCGCCGGGCGGATTCCAGCTTCTGGTTGCAGTACATGGACAAGTGCAGCACTGGCAGCGCGTCAACAACGATATATATACTAACCCTCCATCAAGCGGCGGCGCCGGACCCTGGGCTCACGTTTTGACATTCGGCAGCGATATTAAACACGTTTGGGGACTAGTGCATGGAAGCTTTGCGCAAAGCTTAGAGGCTGTAGTTGAAGATACGAACGGTGATATGTGGCATTGGCAGTATACCAATGCAGGATGGACGCAAATGGCCAAGGTGCCAGGAGTTGCAGTGCCGTAGGAATATCAGGCAATGCGCCTAGCGTGTGGTGGAGAACGTTATGAACCATGTCTTAGATGAACTTATGTAGCTGAATTTGAATGATTTATCAACTTTATTTCAGTACAACGAACGATCTTACATAGCTGAAAAACGAAGTGGTCTGGATTGTGCTGTCCTTCCTGCACGATCTTCGACACCGAGATCAAGGTGCCGGGGCACAAAGGCACTGTTGAAAAATAGTAATAGAATTTTTGAATAAAATAGCATCAATGATGTCATTCAAGAAGGAATTATGTGCATGGAAAGATGTATATACATTGTCAGATGCTGGCAAGACTGTGAGGGGCTGGTTGTCAGAAAGTGTTTCTGAGGGACTACATATGTAATGCAGCAAGCCCACTCGCATCCCTTACCTCCTTAACAGCTGGTTGAAAGACCGGTGACCGTGCAGTATGTGCCGTCCGCGCCTGACCCAATCTTGGTGGGCTCATCGCCATCATTGTTTCCGGTATAACGATCGCAGCTCTTTCCATCATCCTGGCAGCAGTTGGTGATTGAGCAAGTATCACCATAGTTGGTGTTAATTCCACAAAGTACTCCACCATCATGAGCAACAACATTGTTCATGATGATATGGCGAGCACCTCCATTGTTGCTGCAGTTGCCGCAGCTACGGACCACTTTGCCATAATCGTTGGCGTAGAAGTTCTTCACATTGACAGTGCCAAAGCCATTGAACTGGATGATCTTGTCGGCAGCATGGAAAGCGCCTCCGCCGTTGATGTTGGAGGTACCGCTGGATTGTTTGAGAGTCCTGCCTCACGTTAGCTGCCGGATGCGCTAAAGGGCACAGAGAACATAAAGCTTACAGAGCATCTTCGCAGACATCCTCCCACCAGACGTTGGTCAATGTGCTGCATGTGAGTTAGCAGGTTTGTTCTAACATTCAAACACCCAAGCCTGAAGCAGTTGCTCACCATGTTCCCTTGCAGTGTACACCCTCGGCCTGATTGGGTCCAATAATGACATTGGAAAGACTTGCTCCATCTTCCAAGACAAACATGGCATCGGCTTCTCCAGTCTCAGTCTGTTCTTCGCAGACCTTGGCTATTACGAGTTAGACAGACCAAATCATTGAAGCACACCGGGATAGATCTTACGGTTTCGGTCATATTTCTTCATACCACCATCGAACGAGCCGCTGACTGTAATTGCCTTTGAAGTGGAAGTAGCCCCCGACGATGCTGGTAAAGTGGTTGTCACGCCTGTTGGAGCTGCCGTAATCGTGGTCTTCAGTGTCGTGGATGTCGTCTTAGCAGTGGTGGTAGGGGTCGAGCCCGACCCTCCAGTCCAATAGCAGGAGCACTCCTTGGAGATTTGACTTGGCTTATTGGAACAGTTAGAGGCCCAAGCCGGAAGACCAGTAGTTGCTGTCACGCTACTCTGGGTGAAGGTGGCACAAAATGGGGATGCAGTTGCCTGGTTCGCACTGATGTAGCTGGCGCAAGCATTGGAGTCAGGGTTTGCACAACCCATGACAACCGGCAGCAGGGCTATCAGCGAGTAGCGATACATTTTTACAGAAGAGTTCGTTGAGTTCTAGACTTGGAAGCTCGACTTTTCCAGTTAAGTATTTTGATATCCTTGGGCGTGAACAACTTGGAGTGGACGAGCATCTATTTATCATCAAAATCTTTTCATTTGAGGGCACCTGTCATTGAGAAGCCATTCCAACGGCCCAGACACGCCTTGCAATCAACTGCTGAGGGCCCATGATTCGAGGGATCCTTGTCTCCGTGAGATTCCCACCAGTCAAGCCCCGTGTTTCATCAATCATCACTTCGAAAACATCATGTCTTGGCGTAGCTGACGCCGCAATCCCTCTCGTACCGAGTAACAGGTGACGTGGGGCGTCAATTCCTTGTCTGTCACTTGGAAAGATGAACGAGCCAAGCTTTTTGTTGGGCCAAGCTTTTCTTCAGGCGACGGCCACCTGCTGCAACCTACCAGTCATGGTGGCAGGGTGACATAGAGGCGTCTAGGTGCAAAGTGGTGAGGGACTTCGCATTCCAACCCCGGACCGTATTCGATAATTTGTGGAAAGCTGCTGGGCTGCATGGTCTTTATAGCTTGCCAAGACCCTACTATTGCGGATTATCATCCTCCTGAACCACTCTTGGAGGCGTTGCGTAGGTATGCCCTTTAGCGAAGGAGGGGTCTTGTAATAGGGGTTCACCTGGGGGCGTTAGGTCCAATCATAGGCAGATCTCCTTGGCGGACAAACAAAACCGCGTGCTGTACCCCGGATTTTTGCGGATGCCTTGGTGCTGCAGGTTCACCCGAATAAGAGGAAGTATTCCTATTTTGTGGACGGGAAAATGCGCACGTCATCTGAAAGCCACCAATCGCCTTCAGCTGCACGCAGAGCCTCTCCATTTTAAGTCCCTAAAATGTGAGAATGGGCTTAGAAAGTCCCCTCCATTGATAAGACAACGAAGTTTCGGGGCAGGAAAAGGCTAGCTTCACGGGAAGTGGCGGAGAACTGTAACCCCTTAATCTTCTGGAGCGACACCATCTTCATTATCCCGTAACACCTGTCTAGGCTGTCTTATCAGTTTCTGACAGCCTCATAGCCTGTCATGTCGAAAAGGATTCGTAATAGCGCCAACTAAGGGTCTAGAGTGGCCTGAAGAGACATTTGAACCGCGTAATTACATACGTGTGTAGTACGGATCTGTACGACAATGAGGCCAAGTTTATCAGTTGGCTGTTTCTCAATGGAAATACAGCAAGCTTTGACACTGCCACCCCCCAGCCGCAGAAGGATGTGACGCATGCTACATACCTACAAATACTCCGATTTAATACAATAGAAGACCGCGGTTGCTGTACGAGGAACATAAGCCCGCGAGACTAACATCAATGGGAATACTACGGATTCCCTTGAAAAGTCTTGTAGACATCCTAGTACTACGCCACTGGAGTGTGAACTGCTCCTTGCCAAACATCTCTGATGAATACTTGGCCATCATCTGTTTCTAGCCAAGCGATCTTGTCTAAAATCTGCCTCCACGGCCAGACTGTCAGTGATTTCCCCGATAATCTCCAATCACGGATCCAATCATCTAACCAGTCTCCAGAAGAACGATTCACTGTGTCAGCATCACTATCCGAGTCATCCGACAGCCCCCATCTTGTAGTTCCAATGGTGAGGACATAGGCACTAATGACTATTGTCCACAGCCATATCTCTCTTTGATCAGATAGACTTTCTTTTTGTTGTCCATGGACCGATCTCGGCTTATGAACGCTTGCTTGAGTAGAGACACAAAGTCTTTTAGTCATGGATATTGTGCTTTCTTTTCCAAAACTCGTCTTATTGCGAAAACGCCCTTTCTCAAGTAGCCACTTCAGATGGATGTGATCACAGCGATGGATTTTCTGTTCATTGTTCATCGACTGATAGAGGGTATCACGGAGAATTTCGCAAACAAAGTGCGCGTAAAGGTATGATACATCTGTCCATACCCGCTGCCCATTTTCGACGCCTAGCTGTTGGGATAGGCTGTGACTGGCAGCAATTTCAACATGAAAAAGTGCGGCAAAGATGAGACAGGCACCCCTGTTGACAGATTAGTTGACCACACATCTTGCTGGACTAGATTCAAGGGTAAGGCGGTTTCGCAGTATAGGTCTGTACATGAACGCGAGAAGTAGACTCACATGACCGTAATTCTTCTGACAAGGTTTATGTACAGACGAGGTCCGGTAATTCTCTCATTCTGGTCGAGGATTGCAAATAGACCCCGAAGATGAGCATCTGCTTCTAAAATATCACCACACCATAACTATGTATAATTAGCACGTTATAGATTGTCTAGAATCTGAGCAATGCCTACATCGGTGTAAACAAGACCTGAAACAACGCTTGCAACCCAATCTGATAGCTCATCTCTCTCTTCGACCTCTTGCTTCACAGCCTTTAGCACTTCGATCTTATGTATAAGTGAGGTTTGCTCTATGACTTTGTTATTGAACCCTTGATTAATGGACTGGTGCCCGGCCGCCATGAGTAACGCCGTACGGAACCATGGTGGATTGATGATGTCTAAACCAGTTGAGTACGGATGATTTGGGAAAGCAACACGAATGCTATTTCTGTTATATAGAACTAACATGCAACCAGGATTGAATTAGTCCCGTCTCTATCCGCATTCAACAGAGCGCGAGGACCTACAGTGTTGCCAAAGCTCGCCTGATATACCTACCATTTCCACAGGCATAGTACCGAAAGGGTCACTTGATAGACCTAGTGGAGATTTGAGACGTGAGTGATGGAACTTTAATAAGGTTTGGCCTTGAGCCCTCATATCATTGCTGCTCTTATTGACAGCACAGGCTAGAATGTAAACGCAGCGAGTCCCCGAACGTAAACATTGTACACTTCCTCGGTGAAAGTACATTAGCAAAAGGTGCATTCGGGTTGTTTGGGCTCCGTTTTGTCAACGCACCATATTGGCCGCTGTTCACCACATTTAAGAAGACGATGATTGCACGCAGCACACCCATTTCGACCTTTCTTATGTAAGCGCCTTCTTCGGTGACCAGTATTGGTATAGGAGCTCGACATTCTCTTCGGAACGTGCTTGGGGTTCGTTCCCTGAGATTTCTGTCCCGCCGCAGTGCTCACTTGGCAACAATCAGAGGCGACGAAATCTATGATCAAAGAATCTTTGATGGTCCTATCTTACCAAAAACCTTTCTGAGATATCTTTTGATAACTTCGTAGAATGGTTGGCCCTAGAGCTGATTAACCAAAGTCAAAGTTATGTGATCTGTTATACTATTGATACGGCTTCAGGAAAGCCCGCAAAGATCTTCCGCCACCCCACGCGGCTCGTTAGAACAGAATAGAAAAAGGGTGAGTAAGCCGTCATGGTAGTACAAACAAGCCACTATTCCAATAGTGGCGGCCGACCCAAATCGCCCCCATCACCAGCATTGGTCTTGGTGTTAGTTTGCAGAACAATATCTGGTTTACTCTAACCGCATGAAATCATAAGAGGAAGTTTTGACATGCGCATGATACTGTATTCTGATACGACTTTGCCCTTATTATAATTTTCGTGCTTTCTCGCACTGGCAGAAATACTTCAGAGTTTGCAAACCTGCCCGCCACATACCGTCATTGTGTGTACATAACGGAGCTTCCCGCCTTCAAGCCTAAACTCGTGGCTATCAGCAGCCATCATCATATGCTCCCAGACACAAAATATGCTGACTGATCCCATCGACTCATCAATAACGTATCGTCTGTGCGTGTTTGGTGCCTGATTATGATTCGATGGGATGCCAGGTTTGCAAGAATCATCTGACTTCCCCGTACCGGTATAGGCGCTTCCCTCTAGCCTGACGCAAGGAGTACCCCAAGGCACCGCATTTGCGGCAGTCGCATTACTCCACATGTCGAGGTATGCATCACCTGCGGCCTGAATTGCGGCTCTGTCGTCGCGTTTTCCCTCGGGGATAATGTCCCACTTCTCCTGTTGAACATACTGTAGTGTTTTCTTGGCATCGAACAGCCAAGAGTTTTTGGTAGAAGCAATGGTATCAATCAATATGATTCTCATGTTCTCATCATGGTGAATTTGCGTTCCGATTACATATTGGTTTGCGGCATCTGCGGCTGATATAATCTCCGAATACGTTGCGCATGTCGTCATGTCAACATTAGTACGCTGGTGGTCTATTTTCAGAGATTTGCTCAAAACCCCTGTCTTCACATCAACTTCTTTGTTGTTCTCCTGATATGTCCAATTCGAAGCTAGAAAACCCTGTATAGCAGTAAGCTGTCCGGTGGTCTGAGACGCGATATATGCGTTGGCTGCCTCGATGAGAGCACTGCGGTTGCATTCGATTTGATTGAAGACTAACGGTGCGGCAAGCACTTGGGATAGTGCTGCCACGGAAATGATCAATCGTTCCAGGAAGGCCTTCATCGCAATAATTTGAGCTTGAAACTCGCAACTAATCTAGTGAATGGCTAACGAGTTTAGAAAGACGAGTAGCACATTCTGCTGAAAGGGAGATTTAGGATTTTAGACCATCTTCCGAAATACGAGTATCATAGAGACAGAGTGCCAAAGGGGGCTTCACTGAAATGCATTTGTCTGGATCAACTGCCGAGTGGGGAGCCAAGGCAACTTTGCAATCAGCCTTTGCGGCAAAATAGGGTCCCCGCGGTGTCCATCAAAGTTTTACAAGTCTACCTTTGAACACGGAATGCATAGAGTGTTGAGCCTAGTGGCGATGAACACGATGTCTAGTTCCCTTTGTAAACAGTCATTTTTGGTCCTGGTGATGAAGACTTAGGCTTATTGATTTGCTGATAACCTGGCCTATGAAGCGGTGAATTTTGTTAAATTTAGTTGATTCCCGCCTGAGGCTAACAAGTAGGGTCCAGCTCTATAACACTGAAAAGACAGCAATATATGCTTGCCAGCGATTTAGCCTGGTGGAAGCGGGTACAAAGTTGCACCAGCTGCTACATATCTGTCTTCAGACCAGTCTAAACGAAAATTATTCTTTTCAAAAAACGACGTGATAGAATCCTGTTCTGTTTGAACTCATCGCAAGTGTGTTACTCTTAAAATGGACGTGTTTATGTAACCAAACGGAGTCGCCGAGTGACAGTTCAATTGCCCTCGTCTCGTCCATTTTTTCAAATGACATCATGGCGCTCAAGACAACCGTTATGGAGGCCAAAAAGGCACGAGGACTACAGCGGTGCATTTGATTGAGCACTGTTCGGTCAATGATCAACCAGCGCGTGCGATAAATGGTCAGGTCAGTTTGTTCATGATCCCGGGCTCCTCCTCGATCCGCCGTTGGAGCCGGAGTAGCCAAGAGGTCCCAGCATGTGACGGGCGGAGTGCGGGCTCCATCGATCCCAGCCTATAGCTGTGGGGTGATTTTCGGTACGAACTTTGGGCCGCCGGCGGTCGGTCGACTAGTTGTCCCGGGATGAAACACTCTGCCGTGGAGCTAAAGCAACGCACGGTTTCAAGGACACGCTTCATCACAACAGCTTCCAGAACTCGCAGGTTCGAGTGAGTGAGTCCAGAGCGAATCTGACTCTGAAGCTACGTGTGCACTACGCGAACGCGGCATGACTATGGTGACTCCATCGATACCAAAACAGATGAAGGCTTGGGTGGTCACCAAGAATGGACCACCTAGTGATGCGTTGACGCTGCGGACGGACTACCCGACTCCAGCTCCGCCAAAGGGATCCAACATCATGGTGAAGGTCTCTTACGCAGCACTCAATCCGGCCGACGTGCATTTCATGCTGCACCTTTCGAATTGGATACCGTTCAGGCATAATCCGCACCCGGGTCTCGATTTTGTCGGCACTGTTGTCCAGGCTGGCCCTTCGGCAGAGCTTGAAGTTGGGGCTGAAGTCGGCGGAGCTGTGAATGTCAGCTCTGTGGCGTTTGGCAAAGGATCGCTGGCCGAGTATATCGTCATTCCGTCCGACATTGTTGCACGCAGACCGAAGAGTCTTGAAATGCGACAAGCGGCTGGCGCTCTAGGCGTGGCAGGGCAGACGACTGCGCTTGTCCTGGGCGAGGCCAACGTGAAGGCAGGGGACAAAGTGCTAGTCAACGGGGCTAGTGGTGGTGTTGGCTCAGTGCTTGTCCAAATTGTTAAAGGCCTGGGCGCCACAGTGTACGGCGTCTGCTCTGAAGCGAATGCCGACATGGTCAAACGGCTTGGTGCGGATCATGTGAGTCTTCTCTGAATCAGCCTCAATTACCGTCACTAACTACGGCAGATCATTGATTACAAGGCACACAAATCACTCTACAGCTTCCTTACCCAGGAACATGGCGATGCACCATTCAACCTCATGATCGACTGCGTTGGTGATCAACCACTTTTCACTGAGCCAACTAAGTATCTCAGGCCAGAAGGTCTCTTTATCTGCATTGTTGGTGGTCGTTCACAGGGTATTGTACCTTATTTCAAGAACAAGATTCTGCCTGTTGCCTTAGGCGGCACGCCTCGACAGTATCGCATCCTTGGTTTGTCGCCTTCCGGAGCTTTCGCTGGTGTCGCAGCAAAATGGGCCAACGATGGTCTCTTGAAGGAGATTCCGATAGATATGGAATGCCCAATGGAAAATGCAATCCAAGTAAGTGACTCCCAGTGCCCCTGGAAGTCCTCGAAATATATGTATGACTAACGTGAGATTAGGGTTATGAGCGTGTTGTGAGTAAGAGATCAAGAGGCAAGGTAGTTGTCAAAGTGTCTTAGACATTTCATGAATATCTCCTTGAAGATTTTAAGTTGCCAGCTGGGTCATGTATCATAATTATCCCCGGAAGATCGACGTTATTCATTGTGGCTATACGAGAGTACTAGTTGAGTACCCATGTGTGAAAGAAGTTGTCGTATGTAGTTTGGACGAAAAGAGCCTGCGCCATGAGAAATCAAATCTGTCCAAACGCAAGACTCTCGATGGAGGCATTGACGCAAATGCATTCAATAGCTTCTTTCCCTTTCCTTTGGCCTGTTTCTAAGGTGGAACTGAAGTATGTATCACTAATCAAATGTACTTATCCATGTGAAAAGGTTCCAAGGACTTTGAATCCAGTTATTCTTCCGCTCCCCTCGTGACCATGCAGAGGTTCGGGTAGTTAGTGGTGTAACCCATGTTCTATCCACTCACGATTGTTGTGACTGAGTAAGCCCCAAAAAGAGGCGTCAATAAATTGTCGGCTTGTTCCTCTCAAAATAACTCAAATCACAACGTTTAATCACAGAACTTGCCTTCGGCCGGATCCGCAAGATGAGACCATGGGCGTTTTCATACGCATGCGCAATTGCAGCGCCGCTTTTGGCCAAGGAAACGTCTTCGTATGATTATGTGTAAGCCTTGAAAACTTGCATCTATGCAAAACCTATATTGACAGGCAATCAAGGATTCTCGGAGGCGGAACAGCTGGCCTAACTATTGCAGCTCGATTGACTGAGAATCCAGAGATAGCCGTTCTGGTTCTGGAAGCTGGAAATGACCACTCTGACGATGTCACAGTGCTTGCACCCGGGTTATTCACCGGAATGTATGGCAATCCGGAATATGATTGGGATTACAAGACCATTCCGCAGGTATTATCTTGTAAGATTCTCTCGCAACAAAGGCTTACGACCGTAGCTTCACGCAAACAATCGGACGATAGCACACATCCGAGGAAAGCAACTGGGTGGTTCCAGTGCCATGAACTTCTTATTCTGGACGCATGCATCCCGCGGAGACATTGACAATTGGGGGAGGCTGGGTAACGATGGTTGGTCTTGGGACGAGCTCGAGCCATATTACAGAAAGACGGAGGCGTATCGCAATCCAACCCGGAAGACCGAAATAGATCTAAAGACAAAGTATGTTCTTCCTGCTATTCATGGAACCCAAGGACCTATAGAAAATACCTTTCCAGACGGCTATGGACCACTTGACACTGCCTGGCCTCGAACCTTTGAGACACTTGGGTTGGCAGTTGATGGTGATCCTCGAGATGGACTTGCACTTGGAGGTTACACAAATCTCATCAACATGGCCGAAGACCACACAAGAAGCTACGCAGCTACGGCCTACTACGGTCCAGCTGCGAAGCGTAAGAACTTAAAAGTCATCACTGGAGCTATGATAGACAGAGTCCTTCTCGAAGCGACTGGAAAGTCCAAAATCGCTAGTGGTGTAGTGTGGGCTACAGGAAACGAGACGTTTGTCACAAAGGCAAAAAAAGAAGTTATCGTGTCAGCAGGCACTTTCGGATCTCCCTCAATACTAGAGAGATCTGGTATCGGAAGTCCGGAGTTGCTTTCTTTGCATAATATCAGCACTGTTGTAGAAAACAAGAACGTTGGCGAAAATTTGCAGGACCACGCTTATGTGCCAATTGGCTATGTCGTGAACCCAGGTATCCCGACGATAGAAGACTTTTATAACGATACCTACTTTGAGGAGGCTTTCGATGAGTACCTGGCTAATCATACCGGCCCGTTGGCAACTACAGGCGCAAGTTCGGCGTTGTTGACCCTATCTCAGATTGGAGGCGGTCGTCCCCACTTGTTGAGATTTCATGCTGGTCCTAGCATTTCACCCAGTTTTGCGGCCCAGTATGACCTCATATTCAGGGGCCTGGAAGACGAAGCCATCGCTCAAGAGCTCAGCATTACAGGCGGCATGTCCCCTGAGTTTGCCAACGACACATCTAAGTTGTTCACCGTCTCTGATGATGGACACTTCTTCTCTATACTTGGCGTTTTAGAGCATCCGTTCTCTCGTGGATCCGTCCATATTAGCTCGTCTGAACCAACCGCATACCCTATTCTGGATCCGAATTACCTTTCCCACCCCTTGGACATTGATCTACTTGCGATTATTGCTCTTCACCTACAGAAAGTCACCAAAACGAAACCACTTAGCAACCTTCTTCAAGGAAACGGAACTATCTATCAGCCTGGCTACGCCAAGCTTACGGAAGGGAATGTGCGTGAATGGATAAGAAAGAGTCTTCAAAGCGAATACCACCCAACTGGCACGTGTGCAATGCTGCCGAAGAGGGTCGGCGGAGTTGTTGACTCGAAATTTAGGGTGTACGGAGTGAAGAATCTGAGGGTCGTAGATGCCAGCGTCTTCCCATTGCTGCCGAGGGCAAACATCCAGACTCTTGTCTACGCAGTCGCAGAAAGGGCTGTTGATTGGATCTTGGAAGGTGCGCAGCTTTAACTTTAACTTCTATAGGCTAGATCAAGCAACGCCCAAATGATGAGTCGTGATCTCTCTATAGTAGTGGGCAGCGCTCTACGTACCATGCGAGTCTTATCTCTTTATGACTACGGCTATTTCGCCAAGCTAGCCGGGGCGTCATCTACTTTAAGTTTACCTGGAAGGTGGTAATTGGAGGCATCTTCCTGTCTTTGCAGACCTGGGTCAGTGCCTCGGAGTTGGAAGCTCCGTGGAGAATATGGCGGAGTGGTTTTCAAATCACTTTGTACTATATCATTCCATGCTTTGGTCAAGGCGAGTCCTATATTAAATCTATTTACCGCTGCATAATTATATATAATGAATGTTTCAACTTATATCGGCCCTGCGTTTCAATTTCGTGTTCTCTCAGACTTTCTTCGGAAGCGAAAGCGGGGCGTCTGGGGAAATGGTAACCTATGTTATGGCTCGGCAGAGCCTATCAACCTGTCTAACAGAAGGTTGTTTGCATCAGACTTATAGTATGACAGTGATAACCTCGACTTTTGTGATGGCGTTTAATATTTTGCTTTCCTGTCATGGATGGTAGTACCCCAACGCCTCGCGGGGTGCTGTAGACAAGTTTGAAGGTTCTCACCTTGTCATGGGAGCCGTGGGATCCGTTTAGATTAAAATACGTATCGTCAATTATCAAAAGGGATAGAACCACTAGCTCCGATGATGTCCAACAACCTAATCTTTATATATAGGAATGCGGAGTGGTGCAGAAGTTCACCCAAGAAACTGGAGGATCTCGGAGCACCTTGTCTCCACCAATGCAAGGAAAGGCAAACACAGCGAGCCACGCTTAAAAGCGTTGGCCCTTCAGAATGAGGCATGATTATTCACCTGTCTTGTTCTTGTAAAGATACTGAGGTTTGATGTGAAGGGCTGGGCTTATTATCCATGAGTGAGAATACAGTGAATGACATTCGCGTGCCTGTCTCTCCTGCTCAGGCCGTACAAAACCGGACCATTTGGTTTACTATACAGATTAAGGCTTTTTGATCTAGATATCTATTTGGACGCAGATTGTTTTCATTACATGTCGGAATACTACCGATGTCGATTCCGGTATCCTCGGATGAGATATTTTCCTGCTCAAATCCGGATCGGGATGACGAGGCCGTTTCGTGGAGATCTCAAGGGATGTAGGAGCGGATTGGCCTATAGAGATAGAGCTTACAACAGACTGTTTATTGCGTATTCCGAAAGCAAGTTCGCTAGTAACTGATACTTCAGAATACTGGAATCCTTGACTCACATGTACAACATAATTAACTGCTGGCATCTGTTTGATAGAGACCTCAGCTTGAACACATTCCACCATGAATGAGTCGCGGGTACTAAGACGTGCCCCTCTTCAATTTGACACTCAATATATCTCCCAGCTTGCCAATAGTGTTTTCCATAAAGTGCTAAGAAGTATCATTGATTTGGTTGGCGGACCTGAGAACCTTGTAGACGATTTCCACTCCTATGCTCGACCCCCAGGGGGATCTCAAAGCCATCAGTCAGGATTTTTATCTTGGCTCCGATCACTATTGGTGCCTCCGTAATTTCTGTCGGATGGGGTTATAAAGCTTTCGCAAATCACCCTACTTTCACTTTGACAAAGAGAATCGCATCTTGTCTAAGTTCATTATCTTAAACCGCTGTAATCAATCACGATGCATTTAGGCCGCGTATTTCTCGGTTTGATCTATCTAGGAAGTAGCGTTGCGCAACAAGCTGGAACACAGCAGACGGAGACTCATCCCAAGATGAGTTGGCAGAAATGTACAGCCAAAGGGAGCTGTCAAACTGTTCAGGGAGAAGTAGTCATTGACGCTAACTGGCGATGGGTCCACGACAAGGGCGGTTATACAAATTGCTATACCGGTAACGAGTGGAACACAACTATCTGCGACTCGGCGACCACTTGTGCAGCAAACTGCGCTGTTGATGGGGCTGACTATTCAGCTACATACGGCGCATCGACAAGCGGCAACGGTCTCACCCTAAAGTTCGTCACCAAGGGTCAATATGCCACTAACATCGGGTCTCGAACATATCTCATGGTCAGTTCGACAAAGTATGAAATGTTCACACTGACTGGAAACGAATTTACCTTCGATGTCGACCTATCAAAGCTAGACTGTGGACTCAATGGAGCACTATACTTCGTTCAGATGGCTGAAGATGGCGGCATGTCTGCATACTCAGGAAACAAGGCCGGAGCCAAATACGGCACTGGGTACTGCGATGCACAGTGTGCTCGCGACCTTAAGTTTATTGGAGGTAAAGCTAATGTTGAAGGATGGCAGGCTTCCTCTAATGACCAGAACTCTGGTGTCGGGGATATGGGAGCCTGCTGCGCTGAAATGGATGTATGGGGTACGCCTCTTGCCTTCCTGCAGCCTTTTACGATAACACTGACTGAGAAACCAGAGTCCAATGCTTGGGCTAGCGCTGTAACAGCCCATCCATGTCAAAACAATGCCTATCATATTTGCACAACGACTGG